AATTTAGACTGTGGTATATTTCTGTCTATGTATATTTGCAGCGAACCGTATTCTTTCCTATAGATGCATAGGATCTTCAGATCCCACAGTCAGAATGTTACTATTTGACCACTGAATTTAGAATTCACAGGTTGGAATTTTAGATTTATTCATTTAATAGCACAGTACACTCTTCCTTCTGCGGTACTTGGTGATATACGTTGATCAGGTAATTAGTGCCCCACTAAGATACCGTTATATATCATAACAAGCAAACTAGAAGCAAAGAAAAATCTTATTGGATGACAATAAAGGGAAATAAATGCTACCATATCATAAATTGACTCGATTTGAAAAGAAAAACAGCCATGAATTTTCAACTCAGCGATTAAAACGAAACTAAACACACTCAACAACCTTGTGCACATCCGTACAGTAGGCAACGAGCCACATCTACTGTGTGAAAGTTAATAATACTACCTGGGTGCCCAAAACTCGATAGGTGGAGCGGGGTTGGAACCTACGACCCAATGGTTGGTAGCCATTGAGCATGCATCTCCTAGAAATTAAACAATAATGTATTTATACTGGGTGATGATTGAAAGTGAGATGAAAATCCGGTTGCGGTCCAGATTTTCATCTCACCTTCAATCATCACCCAGTATCGAGACCAGTCTGCTAAATTACGGTTATCTCAGATGGTCAAATGATAGGTATACATCTTCTCTGGTTTCCACTGACTACACATCTAAAGTTAATATGTTGGGATCATGCTTAACACTGTTGTTGTTAGTACGTCATTTTCATTGATAAGCAAGAGAATTAAATAAATTTTTCATATATATATAACTTAGACGTCATTAACCCACTGTTGGAATGCGATCGATTTTGTCAGTGACAGTGTATTGAGTTATAAATATGGATCTGTTCATTCCATTACCCAAACAGCCTTACTATGATGTACAGGTTTTTTTACAATGTGAACTTATCAGCTTTCAGTTAAATACTCATGCATACATACTGGTGATATGTCTGTACAAGGTCCTATTTTTCAATCCAATATGATAAAATTATAGATCATTGAAGAGATGTTTAGTCGACAAAAAATCAATATCCAAATTTCCTCTGCTCTTTCATTTTGCCTTAAAAGCATTTTTGTATCACTAAATATTCTTTATTGATTCACTGTTATCAATTTTGGAAATTCTCTTCTATTTTCTTAATAAGTAATGTATCGCATTACGGTATGAAAAAAGCTTATTCGTCTTTTCAATTTACCACGAATAAGTACCAATTCAGTTTACATTTAAACAGTACTGTTTTTCGGTGTTAGTTGTTTGGGAGCGATTGGCAAGAAGCCTTGTAAATAGGTTTCGTGGTTTTTAGCATTCGTCAGCAAGGCGTATCTGCAGCTCTGACGGAATTAATGTCGCACCTAAGATTTGAATTTGCGTCACCCAATGTTGTAGTCAGTGACGTTATCACTGAGCCTTCGACAGCTTCGATCGAGAAGTAAACTAGCAGCTGCTCCAACACTACGGTTTCAGTGCCACAAACCTTTATTAACCTCATTCAACAGCTATATGATGAAATGATGCTACATGCCGAGTAATTCACAATGGAAATTCCAGTTATCCCTTTGAAGTGAAGATAGGAGTGAGACAAGGTTTCCGCCTACTATCACCAATGATCTCCGTGATTGTGGTCGACTGAATCATGCTGGGAACCGTGAGGAGTGAGAAAATAAGCGTACGCTGTTTGACAGATGAAATGACCCTAGAACATTCGGATTTCGCCATTGCTGATTTATGTCTAATGTTGCGCAAACTCGGGGATCTACAGACAAAAACCAACAAGGCAGGAGAGGTTAGGCAACGGAGACGCGACTTCCTTCAAGTGAATGTAGAGAAGATAGAGGTAATGAAGATACCACTCAACCAACAACAACAACAATAAGTGCAACAAGCACCAGTCACGACAGGCAGGAGAAATGTAAAGGAGGTTGTCTCTTCCACCTACCTAGGCAGCATCGTCTCAACTACAGGTGACACAGGCACAAATGAGGACGTCAAAACCAGGATCAGAAAGACAGCAAGACAGGCTTTCATCAACCTGAAACCAGTGTGGAGATCTACTACACTGCACTCCACTCCGCTCCACTCCACTTCACTCGGCACAAAGAACAAGATCCGGATTTTCAACACCAACATCAAGTCAGTGAGTGTATATGGTTCAGAAACTTGGAGCCTTACGAAAAGTATCTTCAACAAACTGCAGACATTCGTCAAGTCAACAGCCGCCGCCTACGCTCGCTCAGTACTGAAGATCAGATGAGAAGGCCAGAAAGAATAAGCAACAACGAACTTTTAACTGGCAATGAACCAACCAACAACCTATTGTCCAACAAATATGCAGAAGAAATTGGAGATGAATTGGGCATACACTGAAGACGGATTGGGGGCATCACGCATCAGGCCAGGCTATCGAGTGGAATTCAAAGGGGAAACGATGAGTTAGGCGTCCGGGAGTGATATGGAGGAGACCGTGTGAAGAAGAAATGAAAGCTTGTGGGCAGTAGTGAAGCCAGGTTCAAAAGATTGCAGAGAACAGAGTGGAATGGAGACGTGCTACTGAAACCCTATGTTCCACTAGGAACCGAGAGGACAAATAATAAATAACAATAAATACGCTGATGGAATGCGAAGGGTAGGAGCGATAGGAAACAGTGGATAGTTATTTAGACTTCTCAAGGAAACTGAGGCGTAAACGTGAGTGGCTAGTGTGAATACCGTGGAGAAGTTTGGGTCTGCCGTACACTCGCAAGGCAGACGACTGGGATGATGGGCGGAACACTTCGATATACATTTCAACTGCCGCCTGCTACTATACCATTGCCCACTATTCTATCGTACTTTAAATGGAACGTCGAGATAGGACCCCAACAAGTCGTGGAAGCCATGGAACTTGAGAAGTGACAAGTGTAGACGAACCACTTCCAGAGGTATTTAACGAAGATGGTCAAGGATTTTTATTCAAGTTTACTGAAGTGTTAGCTAATGTATGGTTGCCAGATAAGATCCTATCTGACTGGTCTGAACCGACTATTGTCCTAGTTTTCAAAGAGGACGAGAAGGCTTCTTATGATAACCAAAAAGGAGTCAGCCTGATGAACATAGTGTCTACGATTCTATGTTCATACGCGTGATGTCAGTTTGTAATGGAAATCAGTTCGAAATAATAGAATAAAAACCACTCAAGTTGTTCATAGCAAAACATACGTTATTGAGTAATAATAATAAATGAATCCATTTCAACCCGGTAGAGATATGTTTCTATGTTAGATTATGAATCTTAATTACTAAGCGAAGATTTATCATAGTATTCACTTCAGTTTCAGGTCAAAGTAGGTGGAGTCGAATTTGGATCTAAGATCCATTACTTGTCAATCAAGTGTTTAACATGATAAGCCACAACTCCATGAAGTACTAAGGACGACCTGTGTACAGCATTAATCCTATATTAGGATTCATTAACAAGATGTGATATCACACTTTGTTAAATATCAAGCTTATTTGTTTAAAGCTGTGACTCATTAGTTTAGGTAATTGGACCTCAATCAATAGGTCACTTTTTTCGTAAGTCGTTTCACGTATTGTGTTTTCATAAGCCAGGTAGTTTTAACTAACTGTCACTTAATAGGTGTTGCTCACTGACAAGTGCGTGGTCGTACACGTAGTTTTGAAAAGAGTTTTTCGTAGTTAATAACCAGTCAATTTCTCTTACTATTATTCATATGATAGAACGGCAGACCTTCATTTCAATGATTAAGAACTCAGGGTGTGAGTATCTTCTGTGGTGATAATTTTTTCGGACAGATCTTTCAGTGGCATCCTTCTCGTCAGTATCGGTACGAATTAGGGGTCAGTGGCCAGAATATTATCGTAAATTCCATACTAAAGAACATCATTTGGAAGAACATTTTATCTAAGCGAATTACCTATTCAACTTGATACGTTTAGTGTTAACTTCTAACTGCACTCAGCACAAAGAACAAGATCCGGTTTTTTAACACCAGTGTCAAGTCAGTGCTGCTATACGCTTTAGAAACTTGGCGCGTCACGAAAAGCACTCCCAACAAACTACAGACATTCATCAACAGCTGCCTACGCTCGATACTGAAGATCAGATGGGATGGCCAGAAAGAATAAGCATCAAGGAACTCTGGTCTGCCAATAAACCAACCAAGAACCTGTTACCCAACAAATATGCAGAAGAAAGTGGAGATGGATTGAGCATACACTGAGATGGGCCGATCGGGGACATCACACGCCAGGTCAGGCCGTCTAGTGGAATCCAAACAGGGAACAACGAGTTGGAGGGAGGAGACTGCGTGAAGAAGAAATGAAAGGTTGTTGGCAGTCGTGGAGCCAGGTTGAGAAGAGAGTGCAATGAAGCCGTGCTACTGAAGCCCTATGTTCCACTAGGAACTCAAGGGACAAATAATAAAATAATAATCTCATTACAAATATAATTCTCCATATTGTCATATGATTGTACCTTTACAAACTATCTGTAATCATCCAATAAGATGAGATTAATGACACTTATAACCTCGTTTGTTTATACAAATGAATAATATATCCAAAACATATATAACTAAACCTTTCTTAATCCAAAACTACTGATTAAATCTTTCAACAACCAAGTGGATGTTCATGTACTGGACAACAGTGAACCTCACCTAACTTTTCAAATCATAGTAGATCGGACGGGGGGTTCGAACTTGTAACCCACTAGCTCAAAGTCGCCTACTAAAATCAATAATCTACAGTTTAGCAATTACTTTTAAGGGATTAATGAGTCCAAATAAAACTTATAAAAGTAATTACAAAATAATACTATAATATAAATTCTGTGTAGGTTATCTTTTTAATAAAATATAATTTACCAAAAAATTTATATCCTCCGTTATCTGACCAATATCTTACAATTAATCGTATAAGTTTCTTTCATAATTACAGCGTAAATGGGGAAATATTTCACTGGATGAACCTCTTGATGTCCAACCGTATACATTTAATTTGGCTCGTGAATGTTTAGGTTCTGCAATATTGGCTGTAGACTTTAACAATAAAAAGATGTGAGTATTGTTTGTCTATGTTTTTTTCTTTTCTATTCGAATATCTGAATATTCTGCTGAAGCGAAACATTCAAATAAATCTTCTACACAATCTAGGATTACAATACCTCTTCTACTGTAGACTTTTGTCCACTTCAATGTTATACTTTTGTATTCATTTTTCGCTTTGTTTGCTATTGTTAGATAGTTAATAGCAACGTGAGAGTTGATATTATTGTGTAGTGATTCAGATTGCCACATCTTATATCAGCACATATTAGACACAAGACAGCAAGATGAAAGAAAAGTATGGCAGAAAAATGTAGTTTAAGATCTTAATAATGGAGTAATGAGAAGACAAAATGACTTAATCAAGCAATAAGCAAATACGATATAACGAGAAGAATGAAGATAATGTATAGATGCATTGATCCTGAGCCATATCACTTACTTGGGGAGTTGCATCAGCTAGAATGGGCTGGTTGCTGACGAAGTCTCAGTTTTGATACAAAAAGGTCCGTTTGAGATTTACCAGCTTACATTATCTATGACCCTACGAGATATCCGACTGTCAATCAAAGGAACATACTGTACTGCAGTCCGTTTTGTTTTGTTGTACTGCTCTGAGACAAGGCCTATGAAAGTAGAAGACATGAAGCGGATACAGGGTTTTGATCACAGATGTCTTCGTAGCATTGTACGTGCTTGGTGGTATCACCGTATCAGGAATTTTAGATCAGGCGAAGAGTACTAGGCAAGACAGACAAGTCGATTGATGAGGTTGTGAGCCTTCATCGGATGAGATGGTTTTCATATATACTGTATATGCCGAATCACCACCTTCCTCTATATGCCATGCTTGCGGGAAAGTTGGATTATGAAATGATGGAGAATATTTGTAGCTCAGGTGGATGTTCTTGGTTGTATTGTGTTCTCTGAGAACACAATTGTAGACTACCTGGCTCGGGTCCCTGAGACGATAAGAATCAGTGGTTGAGGATTCTTGGTGACATGAATGGCAACAATGGCGCAGATGTATTCACCCCTTGACATTTTCTAAAGCTTGGGTATTCTCACTAATTGTCGTCTTCAAATCGCTTATTCTTTCATACTACTTAATCTTCTTCGATAACAGTCTTTTTCTATCCACATGTTTTTTGTGTACTTCTATAAAGTGTGGCAACGAGTCGATGCACTGGTGTGCGAGGTTCTGCGTTGGTTTTTTTGGTCAGTTATATCACCTAGAATCTTCAATGATCGGTTCGGGTTGTCACATGAACTGCATTTCTCTGTACTACTCAGGCCAACTGTTACAGACTGCTTTGTTTGATGCCACGTTAACGCCATCACCCAATGGCTTAGAGATAAGTAATTAATCCACTAATTCATGAACACGATAATAAATGAAAACAGATATATCGGGATAAAAGGTTGCACCAGTCCATTGGTCCGAGTTGTCACACTTCACAGCTTTTGCAGGAAGGGTATCTGGTTTCTGGTAGTTTGCGATTTAAGTTTGATTGTGCTACATGGCGTCCAGAAAACCCCACACCTTTGTCACTGTAAGACTGTAGAGTAAGGGACAGCCTTCGAAATATCCACCGGGCATAGAGCTAAGTCCTTCCGTTTTTTACAGTCATACTTGAAAGCAGTATTCAAAATCAGACTTCCTTCGAAACATCCTGCGAGTTAAGCTGAGGTACCATCAACATGCATTTCTTTGCCAGTACGCTGTGCAAGCACCGGAGATAGGCCAATGAAATCTTGATCGGTCGATCGTCAACAATTGGTGTAGGGCTAGCACACTTTGATATTAACGTTATTCTTGCCTAGGCTAAATAAATGTTCGAGGACAGGTTTAGGAAGTAACGTTAGATTCAGTATGGCTAATAAATTGGACATGCGCCTACTTTTGAATCCTCTTGATGTGATCCTATCTGGACCTGCTTCTGTATACCCAATTTCTTTTGGTGCTAAACTAGCTTCATTACAATTTACGGGAGATATCCAGGCTCCAGTTAGTATCCAATACTTTTTGGATAGTTCAACTTTATAGGATACTTTCTTTTCGAAAGGTGCTTACCCAGTACTCCCGATTTCAATCCGGTATGTATTTCGGGAATTTATGGGCGGTTATCCATCACCCACTGTCTGTACTCTCCGTTCTTTATGCCTCTTAAGGGTAGACTGAAGTAGATCACGATTTACTGGATTGTCTAATTTTCACTGTTTGGTATGGATGTCCTCTTCTCCCTTATAGCGACACAACTTTTCTACACGCTTGTTAAGCCGTTGTAAGCCTTGATCGTTACTCAGATTCCTCTTTCTCAATCTCGTCGCTAGTTTATGTACCCGTCTATCACGGTTGTAGCTAGAAAGAGTATTATCCAGTTGCCAGTTTGACTGGGTATCGTTTACCGCCAAATCGGCTCTTGCAAATGGATAATCCTCACCCGATCTGTTCACTTTTTGATGGAACATCTTCGTTCGTGGCAATGAAGCTTTCCAGTTAAGGTATAATGACCTCTTTACCGACTCTTAGGATATGTACCCAAAGTCTTTTTATAACGTCTCATATAGTCTAGTCCCTGACATACTGACGGGATTCAACCATAGGGTACCTGCTCTCTCGATAAGTATCTTGTCTTCAACTTTACTCCAACCCCTTTTTGCTACCTGATTTATCTTAACGATTTTCTTCTTGGGATACGCTTGAACCGATGCACTTGTGTGGGAGGTTTTTACGTCTGTCTGTCTGTCTGTCTGTCTATCTATCTATCTATCTGTCTATCTGGGATATCCATGTTTCTTATGCTGCCCCAGACCGATTTTTAGGCCAAGGCTTATATCACACGTCTCACATGTTCCTATATCTCTGTTTCATGAATGGACCCCATCGTTTCATCCAGCATACTCACGCGGTCATGAGTCGCTAAAATTCTGAACACAGGACTTACCACACAACATAGAGTCAACACTTTGATTGCAATCATTCTCCACATGGAGCAATCTCTTGGTGCCTGATACCATTTCCTGCGCCGGCATCACTTGAATATCCGGCGTACTACATCAAAGTAAACTGATGGAAGTTGTCAGTTTATTCTGTTGCCCAGCAGCATTGTGTTTTCACTGTTAATTATCACAGTTTAATTGGGTGAAAATGACACGTCGTCATCCACCGCACCCTTGAAGACAGGGGAATCTGAGCATCCTGAGAATATCCCCAGGATAACGTCGGTGGTAACCCCGTATAATTTGATCCAGGCACCCTCCTGTCAGTCTTATATTAGTTTCCACGATGAAAGTAAAAGATCCCATCCTAGGTACTTTAAGATCCCAAGAGTAAACCTGCAACCCATGCATATCAAATAGGTTAGCACGCCTGCCAGCATAACAATATCAGAGCTTATGGCGTGACTTGGAACACCTTTTTGTACGTATTGGCACGCAGCTGCAACCCATACATACTGCATGTGCAAGTACGCTGGCCACCTGAGCCATAATGGTGGAACATAGCATACCATAACAAACCAACCAAGAACCTATCACTCAACAAATATGCAGAAGGAAGTGCAGATGGATTGGTCATACATTGAGAAGGCCGACTGGGGACATCACGCACTAGGCCCTCGAGTGGAACCCAGATGGGACACGACGAGTTGGGCGTCCGAGGTGAGGGTGACATGAAGATCATGTGAGGAAAAGATTAAGGTTTGTAGGCAGTCGTAGAGCCAGGTCCAAAAGTTTGCAGAGAACAGAGTGCACTGAAGACGTGCTACTAAAGCCCTACGTTCCACTAGGAATCCAAGGGACAAATAATAATAATAATAGCGTACCATGTTTTGTTTAATCAGTAAGATAATGAATGTGCAATCCATACATATCGCCTAGGAAAATACGCCGGCCATCTCAGTGAGTGCCTGTTTTTAGTGCTGATAACGCGTTGGCACGAAATCCACAGCAAAATGGTATGACATGGCACACCCAGCGATTGAGTTCTTAACCAGCGGCCTGTTAACTTATCTCTGTAGAACATAGGACATAGACCTGTAATCCATATACAATACAGGTAAACATGCCAGACATTTCAAATACAATAGTGATCGCGCATCGTTGCAGGATCAACGGCGAACGGTGAATTAGCTCATGGTCATGGACTACTTATCGGCAGGAACCATGTAAAGGTTAACTGGTTTTTCAACTATTCTCTTCCAGAAATCCTCAAACCATTACAACTCGGACTTCAGTCAAACAAAAAACCTCATTCTTCGCACAAAAACTGGCATGCCAGATGTTCACTTATCGCTTTATGTGCTGAAAAGACACGGCTTATATGTGTGCCGTCGGTTAAGCATTTAACCAACAGCTGTTGTGGTCTTACAAGCCTTATCCGTTTCCAGGTCAGCTAAACGTCACCGGCCAGTTAGGCTCATATGCATGAAGACGATGCACACAACAGGCCATACACTCCTAATAACGAAGAAGGCCCTACGGTCCCGGGTATCTACCCTTACCTCCTTAGTAGGGACAGCAGCGAGTGTCTGGTCTGGGTTACCCCACTGAAGCCGATCGTTTGTTAGAAAAGTCACGGTTACTCTTGCCAAAATACATTGTTTCCACTACTTTTTTCAATGCAAATGTATTTGTCAGTGTTTGGCTACTTTAAGAAATACAGCATTCAGTAGCTGAATCTTTTCCGGTATCTCCATAATACATGTCTTTTGTTACCACGCTCCGGCTCAGTAATTTAAGCACTCGACTTCTAAGTACTAGCTGTCACCAGTATTTTAGCCCTACTCTGTCCAGTGATTTGGAAATCAGTCAGCACGTTCAGGGCGATTCTACTACTCTAGTCTGTATATGGAATGTGTCTGGGTTGATTACCTTCATTTCCACTTTTTTTCAATTGATAATTTAACATTCACTATCCTATATATTTTTGCGTCCTAATAATTTCACCTAAGAAGGCTGTTTTCTTTTTGTGTTGAATTTTACTAGGTCTACCAGTGAACCGTTAGATTCAGATCGAATGGCTTTAGAGTTTAGTATGCAGTTTGCAGACACACCATTAACAGTTGGACAGCTGATCTTATATCGATTTAATAAAAAGTTATTTCTTGTTGAAGTTAAAAAACTATCAAGTAAGTATACATATACTGATTATTTAAGTGTCTTGCTACTGTTCTCATGTAAACCGTATTTCTTTTTGTCCTATCTGAAGTCTAGTAAACGAGTTGTAGCTTACCTACTAGCTAAGGTATCTAACTTTCAATGAGGCTACGAATCTTCACTGATTGACATGCCTTAAACATGTGTTGCTTATCCTGAGCCACCGCACACCTCCACCTACAGTGTTAATTGAAGTAGAACTAGATTACAGGAAGGCTAAGAATGGCCAGACAACCATGAGGTCTATGGTTTTTGGTTTGAGTTGTGTAAATAGATGTAGACTATTTATTTGAGATTCTCAAGATGCTAGGAATCCTTGTGCTATGATTTCGAACCTGTCGCATATACCAGGTTGTACATTGAACACCTATCTGTCTAAATACTTAACATCAGACCAAGTTTATAAATAAATAAAGTTACAGTTTGAGTTAAAATACTTTCGTACTGGATGATGATTGAAGGTGAGATGAAAATCTGAACCGCGACCGGATTCGAACCAGCGACCTTTCGGGTTACCGGCCGGGTGCTCTGCCAACTGAACTACGAGGTAACCTTCAATCATCAGCCAGTACAAATACTAGTCTGCCAAACTACGGCTATCTTAGATAGTCAAATCATAAAATACTTTCGTATATTTAGTTGTTGTTGTTTGGTATCATGTTTCTATGAGATTTTAACTGAATTATAGTTCAATTGAAATATAAAAACTTTTCACGATATTGCGTTCTTGTTTAAGAGCCATATCTATCATCTAGAGGATAATGGTATTATCTGACATCTGGAATCTAAGTAATAATGGGATGAGATAAAACTGTATTCTAATCTGCTTTTAATATTGGAGCAGGTTGTAACCTTTTGCACATCGACTCTTGTTCATGGCTTCATCAACTGACTCATCTTTCTTATCGGTAATTTATTATTGGTAGTTTGTTGTTAATTCTCTGCATATATGTACGATCTTTTGAAGATATCAATAAGTTAACGTACAGATTTGATTCTCATGTTTTTGATGATTAGGTGTCTGGTTTAACTATGTAGTCTGATATTCACTTATATCATATGCCTGCTTACATTGTGAGTATCTTGTGACTACTTTTCACTGTTTTACTCAGTTTATCCACTAATCCTTATTTTTATCAATGATATAATTAAACAGTCGAACTAACTTATATTAGTTTATAATCGTGATACGTTAATACTTGTAGGTTAAATGGAATGATCTTGTTTGTTTGGGTTCGCTGAGCCGGGTAGTTTAATTGTGAAGTTTTCATTGTCTATTTAGAGAATAACTTGAATATTGAAGTTCGTAATGATGATGTTGTTTAGAAAGACAATGAAAGCTTCACAATTAAACTATCCAGCTCAGAGAAAGTGACACAACTAAGATATGTAAATACTTTCTGCATTTTGTAGATTCTTAAGTTGACAAATATATTTCTCAATAGTGGTCTGATTAATGACCAATGTAATTACTGGTGCATACTGTTGATTACTATGGTAAAAGATTATTTTCCTTTCTACCCACCTAGGTCAATATCATCCATATATATATATACTTATGCAAATGTTATTTTATATAATCTAGATTTTGATATGGTAATAATGCTTTTTTCGATTTTCTTCATACTTATTCATAAAGGTTTATTCTATTAGGTAACTATTATACTTTATCACATTAAACCTTTTTACTAACTAATCTATTAAAACTGAATTTCGCTTTCTCAAGGAGCATAACTCACTAGAGTGTTGTTATGTCAAGAGACTCTTTACTAGAAAAGGATGTCGAAAGAAACAACCATTCGTTACACAACAGTTGTACTGTTGGACGACAGCAAAAATAATACATCAATAACACTGGTTTTAAGCTTCCATTGAACATATTACGGTAAACTAAACATAGTTACTTTGAAATTGGACTCATTAGTGATTACCTGCTGTGAATTATGCATAAAAAACAGTACATTTCAAAAACTCATATTGGAAATCACCTTCTAGGATTCTTCATGATGAGTTCCTCACTTGTGAACATCTGCAACAAAAGTGATCATGCCATCGTGAACACAAGGTTCCTGCTTACTTTGTTGATCTTTACCGTTTTAAGCATACTGATCCATTACATCATTAATTATGGAAGAGTATCAGTGGCACAGGTGCATCCATACATTAAATTCATCTTGAACATCATATCAAATTTTATTATTGTTTCATTTCTTCTTGCTAATCTTTTCACGACTTTCTACTACTTCTGACTACTCTCTTCCTTATTGCTTTATCTTCCACCTGGATACATTCTTGGTGTGGTGTGTTGATATGAAGTGTTGCAACTTGAACTGTTACACATGAATGCCATATCCTGTGGCGCTGACTACTCACATGTGCTACTAAGATGGAGTATCAACATAATGAATAAATATGACAAAAAACAGGTTGATCCGAGACGTTTTCATACGTTTATGATCTTGCCTACAGCTCTGTTATTAATTTCTTTGTTTCGCGTCTAGAGACCCATTACACGTAAGAAATAACGCGGTCCAATAGCTATTTTCATGGGAAGGGCTTCATGTCCATATGATAGATCACAGTGAGCAAATGTTTCTGGAAAGTACGACAACGTTCCTAAGTGTGATATGGCGAATCCCTATAAAATTAAAGGAAGAGAAGGTGTCAACAAGAACATCTGTGATAAGATTGCACAGGAATGGAGAGTGGGCATGTTTGACAGACACTACTCAATGTAGACTGGTCACCTGACAACTTACCACGGGCTCTAACACACCGACAGGCGTTTGAGTAAAGAGCCCTCAATAGAGTGATGCACTTACTCAGCAGCTTTCTTTGCAAGAGACACTGGTGTGGACTTGAAAAGAGTTCTAAACTAGCATGAAATAGTTGTTCTATGTCCTCAGATTTTGAATCTTACTCCAGTTAGTGTAGATGTGTGATATGATGTGATGAACTTTGAAATTTAAGTAAGTTAAAATTTAATCCACGTAAGTACTTCCAATAAAGAAATGTAAACTGTGAAATAATGGAGAATATTTATAGCTCAGGTGGATGGTCATGGTTGTATTGTGTTCTCTGAGCTGGGTTGTTTAATCGTGAAGCTTTCATCGTCTTTCTCCTGGACAACATCATCAGCACTAAATTCAGTATGAAGTGAGCTGTCAATATCTCTCCGTGAGTGATTTACTGGCATCGTCCTACCATACATAAAGAACGTTTCAGAAATCATGACAGGATTGCCGAGATACCACTTGGAATTGGTGTGACCATTCATAAACCAACAAATTCCCTCCAAACACTATTATGCAGACCAAAGGATGCAACAAGCAAAGAAGACAAACCCAATATCATTTACAAAATCAACTGCAATAACTGTAGTCAACACACTACACTGAACATAGTGGTCACCCACCTTCACCTTCGTCTACATGAGCGCCAATTGGCTATTAAACTCCACGACATTTCATCACTCATTTCAATTCACGTAGATAACGACTATGGAGATGAATTTAATTTAGACAGTGTAGAAATGTTGGACGGAGAGAGGAAACACAAGGGATTTCATCAGAGAATTCGTAGAAGCTTGGCATTCAGGTCCGTCAACATCATCATCATCATTATCAACATAGGACCAGGCATTACTGCGTAACGGTCCGTCAGCAATCAACAGATGTATAGACATAGACCCAATTTATCATCCAATAAGGAAGATGATGAACGACAGAAAGGTGAGAGGTGAAGCAGAGGAACAGCCAACAGGAAAGTCTATACAATCAATGACACACACAACAATCCAAGGAAACAACCAATCACAGACCACATCGTCAGAGTAAGCTACTGAATCACTCACGGTGAGATATTGACAGCTCACTTCATAATGAAGTTAATGCTGATGATGTCGTCCAGGAGAAAGACGATGAAAGCTTCACAATTAAACAATTCAGCTGAGAGAACACAATAAAACCAAAATGTAAACTGTCTTGGAATGAATGCATGAAACATATATTTTCAGTCTATGAAATAATAAACTGATCTCTGTTAATGATGATAGTGAATATATTTTCACCGAAAACTGGCCATTATCGTCAAGATTACCTTTCTGGTTATTTTTAAGAGATGCGTGAATCTGTGCACAACTGAAATACTGACCTTTTTTCTTTTACATTTCAGAATATTCCATTCAAATATGAACGCTGAGTTTAGTAGGAGTCATTCACATAAATTATGGTATTCTTTCACTTGTATCTAAAGATCTTCCTAGAAAATTACATATCTTACTGAGTTGATATCTTAAAATACGAATATATACCGAGGTTGTATGAGCGCATGTATTCGCTAAAATTAAACGATTCCTTTTAACTTAAGGACAGTATTTGACTACCTTGATCAACAAGTCATTTGAGAGTTCTTGCCAACACAGGAAGTCTGTTAATGATTATCCAGTTGTACTGAAGGTTGTCTACTGTTGTTCATTAGAACCGTTAGTCGTTGGATTTAACTTTCAACTAATTAATCATGGGGTCAAATTAACTTCAATCTACTGATGCCTTGAAGTCATGTACTGTCGTTGACCTTTAAAACATCAATATGTCATATTACTTGCTCGGTGTTATTTGTTAGCGATTGATTCTAGAACATCCATTTCATCCATTTTGGTACTTGTTAACTGGATGTACATGCATACATGTAGTTAATGGTGTTTCGATTGACATTCAAACCGAATAGCGATTTTACCAAACTCTAAAGCGTTATCTACCAGGTTATCATTAGGCAATTAACACTAAAATGAAATTTAAGGCACTATTTAGGTATCCCTCGATGAAACCCATATGCAGTCAAAGATTGATCAATCTGATCCACTGTAATAGTCAGTGGTCAACCAGGATCGGAAAAGCAAGAGAGGCGTTCATTAGCCTGAAACCAGTGTGGAGATCTAATGCACTCAGCACAAAGAACAAGATCTGGATTTTCAACACCAACGTCAGTCAAGTCAGTGCTTCTGTATGGTTCAGAGACTTGGCGTGTTACGAAAGGGATTTCCAATAAACTACACGCATTCATCAAGAACTGCCTACACCGGCTCGCTACTGAAGATCAGATGAGAAGGTGAGAAAGAATAAGCAACAAGGAACTGTAGCCTGGGAACGAACCAAGGAATCAAGAAGCTATCGCTGAACAAATATGCATTGGAAGGAATCGGAGATGGATTGGGCATACACTGAGAAGGCCGACTGGGAACATCATGCGTCAGGCCAGGCACTCGAGTGGAACCTAGATGGGAGGCGACGAGTTAGGCGTCCGAGGTGAGTGTGACATGGAGGAGGTTGTGTGAGAAGGAAATGAGAAGTTTTGGGCTGTTGTGGAGCGAGGTTCAGAAGATTGTAGATAAGAGAGTGGAATGGAGACGTGCTACTGAAGCCGTATGTTCCATTAGGAACCCAAGGGACAAATAATAATGGTCAGTGCGATATTACAGGGAATAATAAATACATCTAATAGTTTAGTACTAAACATATTTTTATCAAACTGCTGAATTGTATCCACTAAATTATTACAATAATATTTGAGAAATTCCACTTTACATGATCCACTAGATGTATCACACGTTTCAGACACAATTTATCGTCTGTACTATATATCTTCTACAGTTGTATTTAAAATCTTTGGAAACAAATTATAATTAAACAGTAGGGTCACATGATTACTATTATGCTCTTCTCAGGACGACAAACCTACTTCTTTGGCCATGATAAAGCTAATGTTATGTTTTGAACACAAAGATCAGGTTTAAGATTGTGAATGGCCAATAATTTGACTACTAATAGAGACGAACTAATCGAATGACTTTGAAATTTTATGGAGCAACTCTATAAATTACCTGTAAAAAACCACTGCGATAGGTTAGGTGTCTAGAGATAATGAAGTAAGTATTCAACAATAGAACTATAGATATTATTTTTCTCGTCTCTGGAAAGTGTTCCAGAATATGTTTTACTAGTTTGACGCTCACTGCACTTTACTAGAAGAAGTAAACTGATAGATGCACAATGATGTGTCGTAACCGATCAGTTGTCAACTGGGAAATGTAATTCCTAGACTAGATGCATCAAATCTCTTCCGTAAATATCTTGAGAGGTGATTTTTGAGGATTTCAGCTGCAGTGTCTATCACCTTTGAATTCCAGGTTGCAATGAAGTTTTTTATGAGATAGTCGATGGCTTTTTTATTTGTTTGTTTTTCATATTAGAGTGAATTAATTTAGGTAGGTATCCATTTCCTAATAGTGGGAGTATAGGGAAGCTTTTACTCACTGTCTAGTGTATCTTCAGATCAGATTTTTGAAATTCTTGAAAATAATTAACTTATAAGGTTCTTTGATGTTATAGCTTGTATATCTCTGTCGTTGATTGGACTGAATTGATTAGTCATTATTGGCATATAAGTTCCTGTGTGAATGCTTAGATATTGCCAGTATTTTTCAAACTTGATATCAATGATGTATAGTGGCTAGCAATAAAATCCAAGTATAAAGTTCTATTTGCTAATTAAAAGGGACAACTTAGGTATTTGATACACTATCCATATTAGTTTCTCTGCAATTTAACCTTTGGATCAAATTTTATCTGATCTTGTTAGTAACACATCTGAGAAGTATTTACTTTCCAGTAACTAGAATACATAGAAATGTCCAAGCCATTGAATTGCATATGAAAGAGATAGTTTCTATTGCTGGGTATGTTTGTAGATTATTTATTATTATTATTATTATTGGTCCCTTGGGTTCCTAGTGGAACATAGGACTTCAGTAGCACGTCTCCAGTGACCTCTGTTCTCTGAGATCTTTCGAACCTGGTTCCACGACAGTCCAGAAACTCTCATTTCTTCCTCGCACGACCTCCTCTATGTCACCCTCGGACGTCCAACTCGTCACTTCCCATGGGGATTCCACTCGAGTACCTGGCCTGGTGTGTGATGTCCCCAGTCGGCCTTCTCAGTGCATGGCCAATCCATCTCCACTTCTTCCTGCATATTTGCTGAGTGATAGGTTCTTGGTTGGTTCGTTCCCAGAGCTCTTTGTTGCTTATTCTTTCTCACCTTCTCATCTGATCTTCAGTAGCGAGCCAGTGTAAGCAGTTGTTGATGAATGTCTGTAGTTTATTGGAAATGCCTTTCGTGACGCGCCAAGTCTCTGAACCATACAGAAGCACTGACTTGACTGACGTTGGTGTTGAAAATCCGGATCTTGTTCCTTGTGCTGAGTGCATTAGATCTCCACACTGGTTTCAGGCTAATGAACGCCTCTCTTGCTTTTCCGATTCTGGTTGGCTTTGACATCCTCGTCGGTGCCAGTGGCGCCTGTAGTTGAAACAGTGCTTCCTAGATAGGTGAAGGAGGTTACTTCCTTTAAGTTTGTCCCATTGATGGTGATTGGAGCTTGTTGTTGGTGGTGCGGTATCTTCATCACTTCTGTCTTCTCTATATTCACCTGAAGTCCCGTCTTCGCTGCCTGTTCTGTCAACTTGTTAGTTTTCGCCTGTACATCTCCAACTTTGTGTGACACTAGACACGAGTCATCGAGAAATCCAAGTCTTCTAGGTTCTTTTCCGCAGTCCAGCGTATTCCCCTCTTCTCTCTCCCTATTGTTTGTTGCATGATCCAGTCGACCACAATCAGGAATATCATGGGGTGGGGATTAGTAAGCAACCTTGTTTCACTCCTGTCTTCACTTCACTTCAAAAGCATCACTGAGCTTCCCATTGTGAATTACTTGGCATGTGGTGTCTTCATATAGTTGTTGAATGAGGCTGATAAAGGTTTGCGGTATTCCGTAGTATTGAAGCAGTTTCCAAATTACTTCTCGGTCGACGCTGTCAAAGGCCTTCTCAAAGTCGATGAAGTTGAGGTAGAGAGTTGACTGCCATTCTATACTCTGTTCTATGATGATGCGAAGCGTTGCAATTTGGTGCGCACATGATTTGTTCTTCCTGAAGCCTGCCTGTTCGGGTCGTAGTTTTTAATCCAGTGCATCCTTAAGCCTCTCCAAGATGATGCGGCTTAATACTTTGCTTGGGGTGGACAGAAGTGGAGCATGATTCCGCGCCAGTTCTTGCAAGCACTGAGGTCTCCCTTCTTCGGGAGTTTGACAAGGTAACCCTTCTTCCAATCAATGGCCAGGTACCTTCTCTTCCTTCCACACCTTCTGCAATAGTGGTGTGAGCATGTCTGCTGTTGTCTCTGTGTCTGTTTTCAGTGCTTCTGGCAGGATTCTATCTGGTCCTGCTGCTTTCCCACATTTCAGTAGCTTTATGGCATTCAGGACTTCCATTTTTGTTGGAGGATTTATGTTCACTTGTAGTTTTGTGGCTGCAGGTGGTATTTCTGGACGAATTGCAGGTGGTGGTCGATTTAATGTTTATAGATAGAGGAGTAATATCCACCTACGTAATAAAGTTTAATGTGTCATATAATGGTTCCTTATCAGTAAATTAACAATTGGATGATATAAAAAAAAAATGATCATATTTATTTTTAATTCAAGAAAACCATCTCTTTTGTTTACTTTAGGCAGTTCACTGTTAATCCCCTAGGTCTTTGTGTCTTTTATGAGTAAATTTTTAACCTAACCATTTACAGATTGAAAAACTATTCATTTCTTTGGTTACTGGATATATGTACAACATGAAAACTGTATAAATGTTGTTTGAAATGATTTTTAAGATTGTCTTTTTTATTATTTTACTGTTGATCTAATTATGAAAAGAATTTATGCATATATATTTAATTTTTTATTTCTGTAAATATTAAAGCTTTGTCTATGGATGGTGGAGATGTTGGCAATAGTAAAGTAAGTTGTTCAAGGGTTTACATGTATGATTTTATTGCATAATTAGTTTTTTCTTACTGATTTAGGTATAAAAATAGGAATCTGGCATTTACTGCGTAACGGTACGATTTCCTATATCTCCTATAAAGGTACAAGATAACACAAGAATAAAAACAAATAAACAAAAAAAAAGGAAATAATATGTATTCAGAGTCTTGGAGAGCTACAAGATAAACATAGGGGAATCATAGCAAAGATTGTAATTTGATACTATGACTAAAATAAGAGTTGTATGTACGTTGGAGTCATTTGGGATTAATTATGCACCGATTCACCTAGAATCTTCAGTCATCCGTTTTTATTGTGATGTAGACTTTAAACAGGTAGTGTACATTTCCCCACATGTCTCAGATCAGCAACTTCACAGAAAGTAATGCTTTACTCTGATCACTATTAGCACTTTTCTAATCCAACTACACTTACCTACCTCTATATATATATATAATCACACCTTATTAATACTGGCTTGATAACTGCCTAGATACCAATCAGTCATTACAAATTGAAGCTATTGCCATCAAAAAAATCAAAGAATTTTGTGTATAATAGCTATCTCATAGTCAAAGATACAATTCCACATTGAAGAATTCTATTTGATTATAGCACACAGTGATATAGTTGTTAGATTGCGTTCTGAGTACAATTTATCCCTCATTTTCATATGTTATACGATTATTAAAAAATAATGTATTTGAAACCTCATCCAGTAAATAATAATACTCTATCAGTGTGCTCTATAGCAAGCAAACTAACCTTATGTGGGAATTTGTCACATTGTTTTGCGATTTCGAAGTAACTTAGCTGTGGGTATAACACCTACTCAAAATTTTTTGGTTATTTGATATGCGCATAGATTTTCGTATTATTATATTATTTATCCTTTGGGTTCCTAGTGGAACATAGGGCTTCAGCAGCACGTCTCCATTCCGATCTGTCCTCTGCAATCTTTTGAACCTGGCGCCATGACTGCCCAAAAGCTTTCATTTCTTCCTCACACAATCTCCTCCATGTCACACTCACCTCGGACGCCCAGCTCGTCGTTCCCCCTTCAGATTCCACTTGAGTGCCTGGCCTGATGCGTGATGTCCTCAATCGGCCTTCTCAGTGTATGCCCAAGCAATCTCCACACTCTTCTGTGTATTTTTTGGGTGGTAGGTTATCATCACCACCATCATATAACAGAGCATAGAATGGAAGTCAACTCTCTACCTCAACTTTATCGACTTTGAAAAGGCCTTCGACAGCGTCGACTGAGAAGTAATTCGGCAGGCAGTTGCTTCAACACTAGTGCCACAAATCTTTATCAATCTCATTCAATAGCAGCTAAGTGATCCACAATGAGAATCTTAGTGATGCCTTTGAAGTGAAGACAGGTTGACAGATGAGACATAGCTAGCGCTTACTGTCACCCATGATCTTCCTGATTGTGGTCGACTGGATCATGCAGCAAACCGTGAGGAGCGAGATTGGGCATACGCTGTTTGACCGATGAAAAAAGCCTAGAAGATTTGGATTTCGCCCATGATGATTTATGTCTAATGTCGCACAAATTCGAAGATGTAGAGGCAAAAACTAACAAGTTGACTAAAGAGGCAGCGAAAATGGGACATCCATCAGGTGAACGTAGAGAAGACAGAGGTGATGAAGATACCCAACCAACGACAAGCACCAATCACTATAAACGGGAGAAGTGTGAAAGAAGTAGTCTCTTTCGGCTACCCACCTACCTAGGCAGCATCGTTTCAACTACAGGCGGCATAGGCACAGACGAAGATGTCAAAACCAGGATCGGAAAGACAACAAGACAGGCTTTCACTAATCTGAAATCAGTGTGGAGATTTACTGCACTCAGCAGAAAGAGCAAGATCTAGATTTTCAACACCAACTTGAAGTCAATGCGTGTATATGGTTCAGAAACTTGGCGCGTCAGGGAAAGCATTTCCAACAAACTGCAGACATTCATCAACAGCTGCGTACGCCCACTCGATATTGAAGATCAGGTGAGATGGCCAGAAAGAGTAAGCAACAAGGAACTCACTCTGGCAACGAACCAACCAACCAAGAAGGTGTCGCCGAAGGCCAGGCCGTCGAGTGGAATCTGAAGGGGGAACGACGAGCTGGGCGTCCGAGGTGAGTGTGATATGGAAGAGATTGCGTGAGGAAGAAATGAAAGCTTTTGGGCAGTCATGGCGCCAGGTTCAAAAGATTGCAGAGGACAGATCGGAATGGAGACGTGCTGCTGAAGCCCTATGTTCCACTAGGAACCCGACTGAAAAATAATAGTAGTGAATGGTCGTTGTGTCCTTTTTTGAGCCTATCATAATGTTTCAAGAGCTATTGAATCACCTATTAGCTCCTTTTAACTTCAGATGTCTGTAATTATCTTACATTCAACGTTTTTGCCTGAATTTTCGAACTGACACGCTGTTCCATCAGAATTAGAAGAAAAAAAGAGTATTTTAGAAGATTTTACAATGCGTAAGCATTTTTTTATTCGATCAGTTCACAGTCAACTTAGCGAAGCTCACTTCCCTACGTTGATTTTAAATCTCTGATAGTTGGAAACTATTGAAAAACTTTTCATGTTCATTTTTTTAATTATATATTGTACCAGTGATAATGTTCGAAAAAGTAAAACCCTTCTTGAATTACATAGGCAAGTATTTCATTTTTTTTCGAATCGGTAAATATAGTTTTTATTCATTTATCTTTTCTAACAGATAGGTATGCTAACTGGAAATACAGTGATTCGATGGGAACGTCAACCAGACTCTAAACTGTTATTAATTGGTAAAGCTGTATTGGATGGTGAAGGAGCTAGTGCTTCAGGTGGTGGTGGTTACTATAGCATAATCAATCCAAACTGGGATTTCAATCAGATGGGTATTGGAGGGTTGGATAAAGAATTTTCAGCTATATTCAGACGTACATTTGCATCGCGAATGTTCCCTCCTGCTGTTGGAAAACAATTGGGTATGCATGTTCGTTACAATTTTCTCTTCCCTTCTGTTACTTCATTGATTTGTTAAATTGAGTAGCTTTCATCTAACTAATTAAGAACTAGCCTAGTACTAACAGTCTGAGTTTCAGATGAGATATCTTGACTTGCGGAAACAATCGAATGATTGTAACATTTAAGCCGTGTTTGGAGGTACGGACTATCTTGTTAGGTTCCTGGAGAGGTTTATTATTCAGTAGTTGAAGACCTGGTGACGGCTGAAAATCGGTCACAGTGGCTTAGGTGTATTCACTCTTTGACGACTTCTCAAGGTATTGATATTCAAATTCCTTGTCTTATTCTTTGTTCTCGACTCTAATATCAATCTTTTTCTCTCCATTGTGGTGTACTTGACAGCTATCAGTGGAATCCAGGACACGTGTTTCTTCCTGCCTGGGACTTGTCAGCCGGACGTGCCTCAGTTAATGAAATCCGAGCTCAGTACTCATCGTTTCAGATGACAAGCGTTATCCACTAGGCCAGTGGGGCACGAGATCCACCACTTGTGTAACAGGCATTAGTTGTTTTTCATTGATACTTGCAATTTCCTGTTAGTATACTGGGTGGAACTGCTCGACCTCTGGGGAGCGAAGTTCAAACCTAATGCCTATTGCTCGTTCGCCCAATTTCATAGCAGCTGCTTCACGCGTGTAATGAGAAGCCATATTGTTTTGAACGGATCAAGTATGTATTGTGTTCTGCTCTCTGTGTGTACGTGTGAAGAAGAGGATTTATCAACTTCCTCGAGATATTATACAAGCTGGGGTGTATATGACAACTTGAACCGTTGCACTTTTGTACGAGTTCCTATGTCGCTTTTATCTGTCTATCACTTGACTTGTAGAGATACTCACTTCAAAAAGCTGTGATTAAGTCTTAGAATTCATCTTGAATTTGATTTCAATGATAGTAAAGTAGAGGAAAAAGCTTCAAAATCCTATGGAACGTGTGCGTATACGTCAGTAATGTTTCTATCCACGTATTTGACCTACTTAGAAAACACTCACTGTTCTCGGTGGTTAGTCGGGAAGATCCTACTTAGGGACACTGTTTTGTCCAGGATTACGAAAACATACAGATCATGACTGAGGTAAGCCATTGCCCTCCGTAGATACTACTAGGTAGCAAGGAACAGCCGTTTCGTAGACGAAGTACGAAAATGGAATTCCTAATTCAGTCGTATGCTAGTACTAGTAGTCTGTTGCCCTATCCTGACAATTTCAGGAGGATCTGTTTACACTAAGAGTAATTTGAATCCGAAGTTTCCAGTCGACTTTCTCATTAATTAATACCTCTTTCTGTGCGAGATTTGTATGTATTATATTTGGATTCGTTAGCACTGGCCCAAAAGTGTGAGTTATTGAGGAGTCCCAACATTTAGTACATGGCTAAATTGGTCTAAGCACTTGATTTCCATATGATGGATTACCGGTTCAAACTTCACTCCATCTACCGAGGTTTGACTAGCCAGGTAGTAACATCAACTTTTACACTGTAAGTGTGGTTGATTGCCACTACTGTACGAATGTACATGTGATTGCTGAGTGAATTTAATTCTATTCGTATGAGAGTACTTTTCACTTCTCAAAAACAGTTGCTTTCATAACTCAATAAGTTTTCTGTCAACGCTATAGGAAACTCTCTTAGCTCTTTCAGTATAGCACTTAATTAACTAAAATGAATACTTCGTTTCTTTGAAATTCTTCTGAATTATCTCAAATTTGTTTTTTCAATATGAAATAGTAACTTTGAAAATTAGTTTATATGAACTATATGATCAAGATTTAACTGAATAGTATGGCACATATTGGGCGCTGAGTAAAAGGTTGATATTAGATATAGATTATACTTATGTAAGTCCCACTGAGTTTGTAATCAAATAAATTCAATATTTGACACAAACGTCTAGTCTGAGCTTCTTCATGGCAATAATCAAAATTAAAATAACAAGGATATATAAATGACTTCAAAAAACGTGTATTTAATCTCTTTATCTAATCCTCTACGTATAGTCATTGTCTTTCTAAATTATGATGACGAATCATTCAGTTTGAAATTGTATGTTTCTTGTTATCAATCCATATCAACATAGGACTAGACATTACTGCGTAACGGTACGAGTTGCCACAACCCATATCAGTACATCAAGTAGAGCAAGGTAGCGAGGTGAAGGATGAAGATAAGAGAATGCAGTCAAAAGAAATATAAACTACGAGAAGAAAGGAAGGAGGAGTGACAAAATGGTGAGATTCGGTATAGCGTTGTTAAGATGAGGATAGTGTGTGTGGGGATACATCTGCGCCACTGACTTCGGTTCTGAGCCATATCACCTAGAGTCTCCAACCACTGGTTCCTCTTGTCCCATGGACCCCAACCACCTAATATGCATCACCCTACATGGCTTAAACCAACAGTCAGAGACTTCATACATTGGTGCCATGTTTTAGTCTGGCCACCTCAAGCATTTTCCCAGCCTGAATCTACTTCGGCCAACATTGTGTGATGAGGCAATCGGTGACTAGGCATACGTGACACGTGTCCCAACCATCTCAGTCGATGAAGGTTCATAACTTCGTCAACTGATTTACCTCTACTCCCTGAAACTCTACACCTAACTTCTGCATTACTCACGTGGTGTGGTGACACTACGGAATACGTCCTATACTACGAGGGCAACGGTGGTCAAACACCTGAAGCCTTTTTGTATCCTCCACTTTCAATGGCCATGTTTCATAGCCATACAGTAGAACAGAGTGGACTGTTGTGCAGTACACGTGGCCCTTAGTAGACAAACGAATATCACGGCGGTGCCACGGGTAGCGTAAGTTGGTGACTGCTAACGGAGCCTTTTGTATCCGTGCCGAAATCTCATCGGCAACTAACCCACCAGGGTTGGTCCTACTTCCCATTTAAGTGAAGTGGCCGATACACTTAACCACTTCACTCTCCATTATTAGCCGCGGCACCGCTGTGTTTCTTGTTGTGTGATATATTAACGCTTTACATTTGGAACAGTCTCATCACACATAGACTTGTTGAACTATTTATATGAAAATTTACGAAAAGAATCAATGAAGTTAATAGGAAACATAGAGGAATAGGAAGGGCAAAGAAATAACCAAAATCTTAATCACATTACTCTTGGTATAAAAATTAAAATCAATACTACTACCAAGGTGGATTCAAAATCATATTAGCCTTACTTTCGAACAAGAGATGTACAACCAGCTATCAGTCCTAGATATATTGATCAATCGATGGGAGGATAACCTGATCGAGAGGTCGATCTATAGGAAGCCTACATGAACAGAGCAATATCTTAATTTCCATAGCTATAGCTCAGTCTAATATAAACGCGATTTAGTTAGATACTTATTCAACAGGATAAACCGCATCTGCACCGATGACACCAAAGAGGAAGAAACCAACCAACTGACGACAACACTAGTGCAGAATGGCTACCCGTTGAAATTCATCGACAGGTGGAAAAGCTGTGTACCATTGAAAAGTACGTAGTGTTCCACTGGTAAGAAAAATACCTACATCTCATTACCATTTAGAGATGATTCATATAGCTTTGTTGTGAGGAGCAGACTTAGACTAGCCATCTATAAAGCATATTATGCAGCCAAGGTCATCATTGTAGAGAAGGCAAAGTCCATGGTACAACACAAACCAAAACGATTACATCAAATCCCAATGTGTTTATGAATTTACATGTATGTGAGGATACACATATACATAGGGAGGAGCTTTCAGCTTGTTCAGTATGGCTCGTGACTTTGTTGGATATATCTTCTGGTAGGGATTAGCATTAAGATGTTCTTTTGCTTTCTTCTCATAATTGGTTGTATTCATTACCACTGTGGTGTTTCCTTTGTCTCCCCATCGTGATGATAATAGCCTTATCGTTGCATAACTGCTTCACAGCAGAACGTTTCTCCTTATTTATACTTGACTTATTAGGCATTCGATGTAGTAGTATGTTTGATATTTTTGGTGTCTAACCTCATTTGTTGCTTTATCTAGTATAACCTTTTAAAGCTGGTTCGATTGCAGGTGTGATTTCACAAGCTAATAGACTTGGGTTGTTCAAATTAAGATCTAAACCCTTCTACAAGGGGGGATAATTCATATTCAGATAAATTGCTTGGTGTAATTTGTCTTATAACCATATGATTATGGGAACTCTTTTCAACTGATTTGATCTCAATAACTGAGTCAGCAGGTAATTTGGTGTGAGTGTGGTTGAGTGTGTTGACCACTTCACTTACCTGGGAAGTAGGATCAACCCTGGTGGGTTAGTTGCCGATGAGATTTCGGCACGGATACAAAAGGTCCGATTGGCTTTTGCTAATTTACGCCACCTATGGCGCCGCCGTGATATTCGTTTGTCTACTAAGGGTCGCGTGTACTGCACAACAGTCCACTCTGTTCTACTGTATGGCTATGAAACATGGCCATTGAAAGTGGAGGATACAAAAAGGCTTCAGGTGTTTGACCACCGTGGCCCTCGTAGTATAGGACGTATTCCGTAGTGTCACCACACCACGTGAGTAATGCAGAAGTTAGGTGTAGAGTTTTAGGGAGAAGAGATAAGTCAGTCGACGAGGTTGTGAACCTTCATCGACTGAGATGGTTGGGACACGTGTCACGTATGCCTAGTCACCGATTGCCTCATCACACAATGTTGGCCGAAGTAGATTCAGGCTGGAAAATGCTTGAGGTGGCCAGACTAAAACATGGCACCAATGTATGAAGTCTCTGACTGTTGGTTTAAGCCATGTAGGGTGATGCATATTAGGTGGTTGGGGTCCATGGGACAAGAGGAACCAGTGGTTGGAGACTCTAGGTGATATGGCTCAGAACCGAAGTCAGTGGCGCAGATGTATCCCCACACACACTATCCTCGTCTTAACAACGCTATACCGAATCTCACCATTTTGTCACTCCTCCTTCCTTTCTTCTCGTAGTTTATATTTCTTTTGACTGCATTCTCTTATCTTCATCCTTCACCTCGCTACCTTGCTCTACTTGATGTGCTGATATGAAGTGTGCCAAGTTGGACCGTTACGCAGTAATGTCTGGTCCTATGTTGATAATGTTGATGAGGTAATTTGGTTGGTTGTGACTAGCAGAAAAACCCAGGACGTGCGTTTCGTCCTGTTTGGGACTCGTCAGCTGAATGTCCCTCCACCCTAGTGCGGGATGATGTTGTTCCCACTGAGACTCAAACCTCGTACCCATCGCTTCAAACGCCAAGGCATCATCCACTATGCCATGGAGGCATGATAGCCACTTCTTGTACAACGCTTGTTAGTTATTACTATTTATTGATGTGCTTGTAATTCTCCATTGTTTTATCGGATCGAGGAGGGTTGAATTTCCTCTCCAGCGATTTTCAAGAAAGCAACGTCTCACTATGAAATAAACTCATGGTGAATGTGGAGTAGTTCAGTCAACTGTATTACTCACGTATTTATCCCCTTTTATCGGTTGAGTTCCTGTCATTGATCTAAAAAATGTTCATGACTTGGGTTTTTAGTGGAACATAGAGCTTCAGTGGCATATCGCCATTTCACTTTCTTCTCTGCAGTCTTCTCAACCTCATTCCACGACTGCCCATAATCTTTTATTTCTTCCTCACACCATCTCCTCCATGTCACCGTTGGACGCTCAACTCCTTGCCCAATTGGGTTCTCGATAGCGTGGCCTGGCTCGTGATGTCCCCAAACCGTCATCTCAGTGTATGTCCAATCTAATCTATCTCTACTTTCTTCTTCTGCATATTTGTTGGGTGATAGGTTGTTGGTTGGTTCGTTCGTTGCCAGAGTTCCTTGTTGCTCGTTCTTTCTGACTATCTGATCTCCAGTATGAAGTGAGAGTAGGCTGTAGCTGTTAATGCATGCCTGCAGTTTGTTGGAAATGTTTTTCGCAAGGTGTCAAGTCACTCAACCATCAAATGAAAGCACTGACTTAGTGTTGAAAATCCGTATCTTGTTCCTTATGCCGAGTGGAGTGAAGTAGATCTCCACACTGATTTCAGATCAATAAAGGCGTGTCTTGCTGCCTTTTTGATCCTCGTTTTGACATGGTCATCTGTGCCAATGCCCCCTGTAGTTGAGACGATGCTGCCTAGGTAGGTGAAATCGACAATTTCCTTCACATTTATTGCGTTGATGGTGATTGGTGCTTGTTTGTCGTTGTTGGTTGGGTATCTTCATCACATGTGTCTTCTCTACGTTCATCTGAAGGGAGTCCCGTCTTCACTGCCCTGTCTGTTCTGCCAACTTGTTAGTTTTCGCCTGTACATCTTCGAGTTTGTGCGACATAAGATACTAGACATAAATCAGCATCGGCGAAATCAAAATGTCCTAGGGTCTTTTCATCGGTCAAACAGCTTATGCCCATCTCGCTCCTGATAGTTTGTTGCATGATCCAGTCTAGTCAAATCAACTACAATCAGGAAGATCGTGGTTGGTACTGGGCAAACTTGTTTTACTCCTGTCTTCACTTCAAAGGTGTCACTGAGCTTTCCATTGTGGATCACTTGGCATGTGGCATCATCACGTTACTGTTCAAGTAGCTGCTAAATTACTTTTCGTTCGATACTATCAAAGGCCTCTCAACGTCGATGAGTTCTTATATTTACCTTTATTATTAAAAATGGACTGTTTTATTTTTAAAAACTTTTTTTTCTAAAACAAAAATTATTATAATATCTTCAGGCTTAAAACATGTTCGCGGTATTTTACTATACGGTCCACCTGGTACGGGTAAGACATTGATGGCACGACAAATTGGTAAGATGTTAAATGCACGTGAACCAAAAATTGTTAATGGTCCAAGTATACTTGATAAATATGTTGGTGAATCTGAGGCGAATATACGAAAATTATTTGCTGATGCTGAAGAAGAAGAAAAACGTATGGTGCACATTCTGCTTTGCATATTATCATATTTGATGAAATTGATGCTATTTGTAAATCACGTGGTTCTACAGTAAGTTAATATTAATATTTTATTTTTTATTAATTATCAGTACAACCCAACTGACTGTATCTCACTATGTTACATTTACCGGTTGAAAGTTTATGATACTACTTGGTTCCCAATATTGAAGTAGATCTAGCGGGATTCGAACTCGAGATCCAATGGTTGAATGTCGATTGTTTTTTTTCCAGTGAGTACAATATATAAAACACTGGACAAAGAAGTGAAGAAGAGTGCACGGAAGGACAAAAGACACTTCTACGAAACACTGGCAAGTGAAGCAGAACAGGCTGCAGGTAGGAGAGACAGAGACCTGACAACATTGTATCAAATAACCAGGTTACTATCTGGGATGTTAGAGATCAACACAGATGAAACCAACAAAAGATGATGAAGGAAATTTAATTACCAAAGAGTAGAAACGAAAGGAAACGATGGCCTGACCGCCTTAAGAAGCTCTTGAATCGACCACCACCTGCAGCCACAGAACTACAAGTGAATACAAGCCCTCCGATGAAAGTCGAAGTTCTGGGCGCCATAAAGCTACTGAAATGTAGGTAAGCAGCAGGTCCAGATGGAATCCCACCAGAAGCAATGAGAACAGACGCAGAGACAACAGCGAACATGCTCACACTACACCACTATTGCAGAAGGTGTGGAAGGAAGGGAAGGTACCTGCAGATTGACTGGGAGGAGAGCTACCTTGTCAAACTTTCAAAGAAGGGAGACCTCAGTGTTTGCAAGAACTGGCGCAGAATCACGCTCCTGTCCACCCAAAGCAAGCAAAATCTTAAGCCTCATCATCTTGGAGAGACTAAAGGATGCCCTGGAATAAAAACTACTACCCGAACAGGTAGGCTTCAGGAAGTACAAATCATGTACGGACCAAATTGCTATGCTTCGCATCATCATAGAACAGAGTATAGATTGGCAGTCAACTCTCTACCTCAACTTTATCGACTTTGAGAAGGCCTTTGACAGCGTCGACCGAGAAGTAATTTGGAAACTGCTTCAATATTACGGAATACCGCAAACCTTTATCAGCCTCATTCAACAACTATATGAAGACGCCACATGCCAAGTAATTCACAATGGGAAGCTCAGTGATGCTTTTGAAGTGAAGTGAAGACAGGAGTGAAACAAGGCTGTCTACTATCATGCATGATATTCCTGATTGTGGTCGACTGGATCATGCAACAAACAGTGGGAGCGAGAAGAAGGAGATACTCAGGCTAGACCGGGGAAAAGATCCTAGAAGATTTGGATTTCGCCGATGCTGATATATGTCTGATGTTGCACAAAGTTGAAGATCTTCAGGCGATAACTAATAAGTTGACAGAACAGGCAGGGCAGTGAAGACGGTACTTCAAGTGAATATAGAGAAGACAGAGGTGATGAAGATACCCAACCAACAGCAACAACAAACTCCAGTCACCATCAACGGGAGAAACTTAAAGGAAGTAACCTCCTTCACCTATCTAGGAAGCACTGTTTCAACTACAGGCGCCACTGGCACAGACGAGGATGTCAAGACCAATCAGAATCGGAAAAGCAAGACAGGAGTTCATTAGCCTGAAACCAGTGTAGAGATCTTCTGCACTGAGCATGTGGAACAAGATCTGGATTTTCAACACCAACGTCAGTCAAGTCAGTGGTTCTATATGGTTGAGAGACTTGGCGCGTTACGAAAGGGATTTCCAATAAACTACAGACATTCATCAAGAACTGCCTACACCGGCTCGCTACTGAGGATCAGATGGGCAGAAAGAATGAAGGAAAGAGGTATCTGGCTGAGTTGGTTGATACCTACTTGTAGGGTAATTATTGGGGGAGGTTTTGATCTTATCTACTGGTTAAGATGTACCTCAACAGTCTAGAAACGTGATTGCCACTTTTACGGTGATAACTTTGAACTAGACTGTACCTGCCTCTCCGTGTAATACTGTGGCTATCTTTTACACAGTAAATTTTGGGACCACATATTACCAAGGATATGTTAATGTAATGGTTTTTAGATAATTGGTCTGGGCGATTGACTTTCAACCAATTGAACTATAGTTTCAAACCCTACTCCACTTATCCAGGTTTTGGCAGCTAATTAAAATCAGGCAGTAGGTGTAATTCATTGCGTACTGAATGAACGTGCAAATGGTTGGCACAAGCATTTTGTAGGACTATGAATACTCTCTGACCACACAAACCTCAGTAGATCGAATGGTCTTCAAACTTAAAACGTATTGATCAAAGGATACTCTTGTTCTTTAGATACTACTGTGAAATGCGGTAACTTAAACCGATGTACTTGTGTGCGAGGTTCTACGTTCATTCAGCCTACCTGCCTGCTTGCCTGAGAAATGTTCGGAAATGTAGGCTATCCCAGACAATGGTCTTCAATATGACCAAGTGATTATAGACTTAATGATTTAGTTCAGAGTTGATCTCACTGGTGCAGTTGTATACTCAGTTTATCGTTGTTTTCATCATTAAATCATATTTTGTTGTTTTCTATGATCTCTTTACTTTTGGTTTTATTGCTTTCTAAGAATTGTATGATGCTTTTTTCGATACTTTTGTTTTTCTTTTTGTTGCCTTGTGTCTTTATTCGCTGCTTATGAGTACTGAAAACTTGGATCGGTACGCAGTAATATCAGATTCTATATCCATATTGTCTAATTGACTTTTATCGAGTTGAGCGCATATGACCCTTGAACTATATTATAAGTAATGTTGTAATAACACTCCGAAATAAATTAATGGCAACCATTTGTTGAGAACATGTGACTCGTTTCGAGTTTTCTAGCTTACAGTTGTAGAGCATCTTTTCTATGGTTTCCATGTTCGATTCCAACGTCGCATATCGCATATACCAACACAGCTTGGTCAATTCTAACTATTTTAGTGTTTTCTAGGTTGTACATTATCGTTTGCAATTTTTCTGTATATTTTAATGAGGAAGACTAATCACTAAGGCTTTGCATTAATGGTAAATATAAACATAGTGTAGTGGGCGCTGCTAACCAAAATGGATATAAGTAGTATATGTTGAGAGGGTGGCAGAAATCATAGAGAATTACCATCGATGGGTAAAGATTCTGCCCAGAGAAACGCAAGCGAGAATGCTGGCGTATTCAGAGCCAATCAAGATAGGAGTAGGGAAATGAAGCACATTGTGCAAATGACAGTCTTAGTGGGAAATGTACAATATTTCATGACTATTGTACCAAGATGTTAATAATAAACATTCCTTCCTGCGTCTCAGGCTTCTCGTTTCCTAAAATTAGCATCGCTGCTTCTGGACGTGACGAAGATTCCATGGCCTGCAGTGTTCTAGGATGGAGACATCAAGGTCTCCCTCAGGGAGTTTGAGTCGGTCGCGTAGCTGGTGTGTGTCCAGAATCCAGGAGCGAAGGTTGTAATACTTGGCATGTTGCTGAGGTGTAGAACGAAAGTGGCATATGACGACGTGGATCACGTAGATGGAAAGGAGATTGGGGAGAGAATGGTTGAACGACACCGTGCCACCCGCAGACTGACGGGTTGATAGAACCGAATAACCGTACACTTAAGGAGTGGCTGGCTTCGAAAGCCATGGAAGGGATTGGGAGACGGGACTGCCATTAGTATTATTAGAGCGTCGTGCCTCTGTACAAGGAACAACCAAGAGGTCATCGTTACAGTTAATGCATGGCGGGAAACTAAGGCTTTCAGCATATAGTAAGACCTAGACCCAACAACACCTGTGGAACATGACAAGATTGAGAAAGGCAATCAGAAATGTGGAACAAAAGCATAAAGCTGAGGTTTAAAAATCTGAACATAGAGAAAGAAGTAAATGGAAACCGTTTGATGTTGGAGATCAGGTGAAATGTAAAGACGAGGATATAAGTCAGGAGGTGAATTGGTAGAAGAAAACTACTTCCGAAGTGGGAAGGACCATACATCATTACCGAGAGACGCGGTATTTCATCAAAAAGGGGACAAAGGGAAAAGAGTAAACACCAGTTTACTTCAAAAATGGAGACGGTGGAAAAAAGAAGAAACATTGCATGAACATCAAGAGAAGACAGCGCCAATGCTATCAACAGGGTTGCAAGCCAGAAATTTTGACAGGGGGACGAGTGTAGTGGGCGCTGCTGATCAGAACAGATTTAAATAGTATATGTTGGGAGGGAGAGAGAAATTATTGGCAATCACCAGCAGTGGGTAAACGTTCTGCCCAGAGAAACGCAAGAGACAATGTGGGCCTATTAAGAGCCAATCAAGACAGAAGCGGAAAAGGAAATGAAGCACGTTGTGTAGATGATTGTCTTAGTGGAAAGTGTACAATATTTGATGACTACTGTACAAGATGTCAATAACAAATATTCCTCTCTGCGTCTCAGGCTTTTCGTTTCTTACAGTAGTATAAAACTCGACAGTTAATTCGTAGACGTTCTCAACTGCTACTATTCAACATTTCTCCCTAGTACTTTATATTTTTGATGACAATAGCATGTATGAAATGAGTCTTCTTCAAAATGTTGATTATTTCACTAACATGTACAATAGTGCATCTTTTCTAGTTACTACACATAACAACTACGGAGAAATTAGTCGAGAAGTGAACAGTTAAGTACTGAGCTATAAAATATTTAGGCTTGCGAGTAATGTTTTCTGAATCTCATAGTCATCGATTTAAATTGTTATGTAGATAACACCATAGAATTGGATAAGAAATATACGAGTGACAAAAAAGAGATGAGCTAAATTGAAACTGGCTATCGAGAAGTAATTGGATATGTGAAATATACCAGTGAACGATTTGAGTATTGAGAAACCACTTAAGCTGATCTACAAATTTCACCGACAGTTAGATTGAACTGATCTAAACAGCGGACAACATTTCATTCGTTTAGAGCGGAGCTCATCAGCGATGTACCCAGATAAATTCAATTCCAACGGAAACTATGTTGATACTACAGTTGAACAGTTGGAAACCTACTCAGTTGTGGGATATGTCAACACGGGCCGTGCAAGTTATAAATCATTTACTGATGTGTCATAATTCACAGTTTAGGGGTATTCTTAGACAATGAACTATTATTATTATTCCTTTGGGTTCCTGGTGGAACATAGGGCTTCAGTAGCACACCTCCATTGCACTCTGTTCTCTGCAGTCTTTGAACCTGGTACCACGACTGCCTACAACGCTTCATTTATTCCTCACACGATCTCCTCCATGTCACACTCAGACGCCCAACTCATCGCTTCCCAATTGGGTTCCACTTGATAGCGTGGCCTGGCGCGTGATGTCCCTGAACAGTCTTCTCAGTGTATATCCAATCCATCTCCACTTTCTTCTTGTGCATATTTGTTGGGTGATAGGTTGTTGGTTGGTTCATTGGCGCGCCAGAGTTCCTCCTTACTTATTATTTCTGGCCATCTGATCTGATATACAGTATCGAGCCGGCGTAGGCAGTTGTTGATGAATATCTGTAGTCTGTTGGAAATGCTTTTTGTGATGCACCAAGTCTCTGAACCATCATATAGAAGCACTGACTTGACGTTGGTGTTGAGAATTCAGATCTTGTTCCTTGTGCTGTGCTGCATTAGATCTCCACACTGATTTCAGATTGATGAAAGCCTGTCTTGGTGTCTTGCTGATCCTGGTTTTGACATCCTTATCTGTGCCTGTGCCGCCTACAGTTAAGACGATGCTGCCTAGGTAGGTTTTCGCTGCCTCTTCTGTCAACTTGATGAATTACTAGGGATAGAAAATATTTCATGTTGTAGTGTTTTCTATAATTCCAGTTTCTTCTACACCCGAGTTTTTTATTGGTATAGTGTTAAGAGTTCTGGTAGTTAGTAAAGTAGAAAGTGTACTGTTTTACACTTTTAATCAGTTAATTAAAATAGTTTTCAGCTAGAGATGACCAATTCATTAGCATTCAGTGTGAACGCGCACATTTTCAACACTAATGTTGTCAAGTCAGTGCTTCTATGTGATGGTTCAGAAACTTTGCGCGTCACGAAAAGCATTTCCAAAAAACTACAGGCATTCATCAACAGCTGCTCTCTACGCTCGCTCCACACTGAAGATCAGATCAGATGAGAAGGCGAGAAAGAATAAGCAAGGAGGAACTGTGACCTGGCAACGAACCAACCAAGAACCTATCGCCCAACGAATATGCAGAAGAGAGTGGAGATGGATTAGATATAGGCTGAGAAGACCATTAGGGGACATCACGCTTCAGGTCAGGCCCTCGAATGGAACCCAAATGGGAAATGAGTTGGGTGTCGGAGTGTGACATGGAGAAAATCGTGCGAGGAAGAAATGGAAGCTTATGAGTGGTCATGAAGCCAGGTTGAGAAGACTGGAGAGAAGAGAGTGAAACGATGACGCGTTACTGAACTCCTATATTCCACTAGGAACTCAAGGGACAAAATTATTATTATTATTATTATTAGTCCCTTGGGTTCCTAGTGGAACATAGGGCTTCAGTAGCACGCCTCCAGTACACTCTGTTCTCTGAGATCTTTTGAACCTGGTCCCACGACAGCCCAGAAGCTCTCATTTCCTGCTCGCACGACCTCCTCCATGTCACCCTCACCTCGGACACCCAACTCGTCGCTTCCCATAGGGATTCCACTCGAGTACCAGGCCTGGTGTGTGATGTCCCCGTCGGCCTTCTCAGTGCATGGCCAATCCATCTCCACTTCTTCCTGCATATTTGTTGCGTGATAGGTTCTTGGTTGGTTCGTTCCCAGAGTTCCTTGTTGCTTATTTTTTCTGGCCATCTGATCTTCAGCAGCGAGCGTAAGCAGTTGTTGATGAATGTCTGTAGTTTATTGGAAATACCTTTCGTGACGCGCCAAGTCTCTGAGCCATACAAGAGCACTGACTTGACTGACGTTGGTGTTGAAAATCCGTATCTTGTTCCGCATGCTGAGTGCAGAAGATAAGGGACAAATAATAATAATAAAATGAATGCGCGCATAGCCAAATGCATATTAACTTTAAGCTATAGGGTTTTTTTAAGAAATCTAGTTTCACAATTTACTTAAGGCTCTTTTTTCATTACTAATATATTTATATCATATACCGTTTTTTCCCCTTGTATTCAGGCTGGTGGCGCTGGTGTTCATGATACAGTAGTCAATCAACTTTTAACTAAAATGGATGGAGTTGAACAATTGAATAATATTCTTGTCATTGGAATGACTAATCGACGAGATATGATTGATGAAGCACTTTTAAGACCTGGACGTTTTGAGGTATGTTTTGTAGAAAAAGAATAAATGTCTACTTATTTCTGTGTACAGAATAGCTGTTTCATATGGCTAAAAAGTCTCGAAGTAGGGTTGGGACTCTAACAAATTGGTTTAAACACTCAACTTTCAGTAGGAGATTCACAGTTTCGAGTCATCATCATTCAAGTCAACATAGGACCCAGCATTACTGCGTAACGGTCCGGTCTCATATCAAGATAGTAAAGTGGAAGATGAAGAAAAGAAAATTCAGTCGAAAGAAATATAATGCACTAAAGGAGAGAAAGGAAGAATGGGAAAATGGTGAGGCTAGGTATGGCTGCTAAGATGAGGATAATGTATGTATACATCTTCGCCATTGACATCGGTTCTGAGCCATATGATCACCTAGAGTCTTCAACCACTGATTCCTCTTGTCCCGTGGACCGGCTAGTCTGCATCACCCCACACGGCTGGAATCAACAGTCAAAGACTTCATTCATTGATGCCATGTTTTAGTCTGGCTGCCTCGAGCTTTTCTCTAGCCTGAACCTACCTCGGTCAACATTGTGTGGTAAGGTAGATGGTGACTAGGCATAAGTAACATATGTGCCAGCCAACCATCTCAGTCGATGAAGGTTCACAACGTGTCAACTGACCTCTTCTCCCTAAAACTCTACACCTGACTTCTGCATTACTCATGTGGTGACACCACTTAATATGGCCTATACTACGAAAGCAACGGTGGTCATATATTGAAGCCTTCTCATGTCTTCCACCTTCAATGGCCATACTTCGAGTACCATTCCACTTATCGGAGTTCCGGCAACCATTTAGTATCATTAACCGTTACACAATAGGTTGTGTAGCTGATTGCCTACTCCACAAACGTATATTTAGTTGGTGAATCCTCTTCGATTCCCAGAACTGGGTCACATTAATTGTACATTATCCCTCAGACTTTTTCTGCTTTTCGATCTAATATCATTCTGCGGCGAAAACTACTTTGACACAGGTAGTTTATTTCATGCTTGTACTATGGTCTATCGATACGCGCTAACTAAAGTGACCAGCTGTGTCCTCTGTCGGTGTAACTTAATCGACTATGGTTTACATTCACATATCTGAATGAAATCAATTATTTTCGGTTATCCACTTCCTAAAAATGGCTTTATTTTCTTATTGTTAATATTTTCATGCACACTCTTAAGTTGTTTTTGCTCACCTCTCTTTCTCTCCTTACCTCTTGTTCTCCCTCTGTCTTAAAGACTCGGAATCACTCAACATTTCACGTTTTACATCATGCAGTTGTATAGTTTGGTTTACAATAGCAAGTCACTGTAAACTAGTCAGCGTCATGTTGTAGACTTCTAAATACTCATAGAATTTCGTTAATCATGTCTTGCAACGATTGGCCAGCAAACTACAAGACTCATTATCATACAGCACTTTGATTGATGTTGAGTAGCCGACATGATGCTCTGAATCCAGATTTTATGCTATTTACCACTTGTCAGCAAAAATTAAGTTTGGAATATTGTGGCAAAACTAATCTATCTTGTGGTAGAACTCTCAGGAAAATGTTCATCAGTGGTAATCGTTTTCGTAAGGTATCGATTTATGTACATATTTCAGTCGTGTTAAGATGTCTAATCTCTGTCACAATCGCTCGACAATAGCACTGAATAACACTTCTTTAATTATTATCTTGGAAGTGACCGAGCGGAAGTGACTGACAAAAATAATACGATATACAAGAACAATAATAATGCAATGAGATACCTGGACTGGGCACAAATAGCAACTCCTCTCCTTTAAAACGTAATGCTTCACCGAGCCGCAAAAATCAGAAGACAAAGACCGGCGTGTAGCTGTAAGAAAGATAACCTTATTTGACAAAAAATGTATCATTTGTATGAAGTTTTTCCTCAGAACATAAGGCCACTAGGTCAGAAGTTGTATACTTACTCTGATTGGCTAGCTGAGGGACAAAATTCTCCAATACGGTTTTCCTTGCTCACACCGTAACATGAAACAAGGTTGAAATCCGGAATGTCTACCTTGGTGGCTAATGACTTCGAATGCTGGTTTCGACTTGGGCCACCTCCTATCAAATACACTTGCCTCGAGCCCTTCATTACATATTACATGCAGTACATGCTAAACTGAATAGCAGATTACGTCTGTTGTAATATATCCATTCAAAGACAAGATATGCATACAGATGAAAGGAACTCCAATGAGATCACTGATATCCGGAATAACTATAGAAGCAGTGATGCAGAGACTGGAAGCCATCATTCTACTTGTGATCAAACCAAATTTTGGATTCTCTATGTGGACGACAATTTTGTCATCATTAAAAAAGATGATGTAGAAAACATTCACAGTTTGATCGACAACGTTTTTAATGACATCAAATTCACAATTGAGAAGTCAAGCAACCAATTACCATTCCTGGATGTTTTAGTCAGTGGGACAAATGACGGAAAGCTGGAAACCCAAGTGTAGAGGAAGCCAACCAACACACACTGACCAAATCCTCAACTACAATAGCAACAACTCACAAAATGAGTTGCGTGCTGACTCTATTCAACAGAGCGAGAAAACACTGCACTTCACTGCAGTACACCACTTCACGGAGAAACGAAGAAAACTACTTGATGTCTATCCTAAAGAACGCCTACCCACCAACTTTATCAGAAGATGCTTATTCTGAGCATCATCAACTACAAAGTCATCGACAGAAATCAGTAAACACATCATCCTACCGTACATAAAGAATAAATTGGAAATCACGACAAGATTACTGAGACCATTTGGTGAAATTGGTGTGGCCACTCATCAACCAACAAATTCCCCCTAAACCTTATTATGTGAACCAAAAGACGCAATAACCAAAGAAGAGAAACCGGATATCATCTACAAAATCAACTGCATTAATTGTAGTCGCTCTCTTCGTCTTCGTCTGCATGAACACAAATTGGCTATTAAACATCACACATGACATTTCATCACTCATTTTAATCCACGTGGATAACAACTATGGACATGGATTCAATTTGGACAGTGTAGAAAGAAGTGTTGGACGGAGAGAGGAAACACAAAGAATGTCGTGAGAGAATTTCTAGAAGTTTGCCACTCAGATCAGTCAGTCAGCCAGTACTCAATCGGTGTAAAGACATGGACCCAATCTATCAAAAGATGGGGAAAATGATAAACGACAGAAAGGTGAGAGATCAAGCAGAGGAACAGTCAACAGAAAAATCTATGCAGGCAGTCAATGACACAACAATCAAAATAAACAATCAACCACAAACGAGTTGGTCAGGGCAAGCTACTAAATCACAGACGGAGAGATATCGACAGCTCACTTCATATTGAAGTTAGTGGTGATGATATCGTCTAGAAGGACGATCAAAGCTTCTCCACGATTAAACAACCCAACTGAAAAAACACAATGTCATCAAGTGTGATATTATCACACGTGATAATTGAGTTGTGTATTTAGTGATTTTATATAGAAGTTATGAAGTTGAGAATATAAAACTAAGCGATAATAGTGAAAGGATCGAAGCTTGTGGTCATCTGGTTGTCTGCTCGTTTCTACCCTAGTTGAACTGTAAAAATCAGCTGTTAATTAGGTTTCGCTTCCTCCTCATTTATTTAAACATGCTTTTCAAAATATACGACAGTTCAAGGAATAGTTCCAGGGAAATGTTATGATCAGAAGGGAATTGTTTTTTAACAAAGGTATGAGGTAGGTTAACCCGTACTAGCCACCCATACTGTGGAACGTAACTTTTTGTAGCACAAAAAAAACAGATTAATAGGGTTAGTATATGGTCGTATAACAGTAAAGAGATCTGTTTAATTCGAAAAACCGTAGGGCAGGTGGAATCGTGCTTCTTTTTTTACGGAGGATATTTTCCAAACCTTCCGACAAGGAAAGGTATCATCAGCGTGAAATGCTTCCATCTATACGAAGAACTTTACTTCTGTCGCATCCTGTTCAGCCAGCAGTATGACTTTACCCTGAGACCATCCGCTATTTACATTATTATGACTAACTGCTTTTTCATCTTACTACTGTCCAACATGTGTCTCTGGTAGGATAGAACCTAAGGGAGAAATTTTTCCAACTTGCATAGCTCTTTGGGGCATTGGGATATATATACAAGCTCGAGCATCGCATCAAGGAATCAACCATCGGTCGGAAACAATTAATTATAGGCACACCGCTAGAGATTTAACTCAAGAAGTAAACAACTTCATACTCAGTATCTGTTCATAACTACACACAACTATCTTCCATATTTTTTCCAGATGCAAATGGAAATCTCGTTACCAGATGAAGACGGTCGGCTACAAATTTTAAATATACATACAGCAAAAATGCAACAAGCTGGTAAACTAGCACGTGATGTTGACTTAAAAGAGCTGGCAGTGAAGACAAAAAATTTTAGTGGTGCTGAAATTGAAGGCCTTTGTCGTGCTGCAGCATTCACATCTATGTATCAATTGATCAGTGTGAGTTATTATTTCCTTGATATAAAAATAGGCTGATCTTAAAATTCATGGTGAAAGAGAACGGTTGATACGTTCTTCTCTCAGGATTTTACAATGTCTCAGCACACTTATTTATTATTACTATTTTTCCTTTGGATTCTTAGTGGAACATAGGGCTTCAGTAGCTCACCTCCATTGCACTCTGTTCTCTGCAGTCTTTCCAACCTGGCACCATGACTGCCGACAAGCTTTCATTTCTTCCTCACATGATTTCCTCCATGTCACCCTCAACTGGGATGCCCAACTCGTTGTTTCTCTTTTGGATTCCACTCGATAGCGTGGCCTGACGCGTGATGTCCCCAGTCTGTCTTCTCAGTGTATATCCAATCCATCTCCACTTTCTTCAGCACACTTATGACCGGTTAAAATTGGTTGTTGAGCATTAATCACCTTGATATATAAAAAAAACAATGTATATTCGGTGTCATCCGGTATTGAGGAACAATCAACTTGGATGGCGATAAAACTTCTAAAATGGCAATTGGTCATGCTTTTATGTTTAAGACCTTTTTTGTTTAACGGTTGTTCCGTCAATGAGGTGTAGAATGAATGAAAGGCTACAAGTTGCTGATGTATACTTCGAATTTAATGTTTTACGACCGTCATCCAGGTGGACTAGAAAATAATGCCACTCATCATGGCACAGGTACTTTTTCGAAGATATGAGGCCCCCTTGTCACCAGGGTCGAAGAGCTTCTGAACCGTATGTCCATTGCTTGAAATTTGAGTACCCAAACCAAATAACTATAATTAAAGTACAAAGTTGAAGGATGTCTTGTCGGTGTGGCTGATGTTTTGGTCTTAACCTCAGTTTCAGTTTCCTATTAGGTTCTACGTTCGATGGATTGGGTGAAATGCTCGGCGCTGGTATTATTTGCTGAGTTGATATGTTCAAGTTGATCCTACTGTCACCAGCGTCATCACTTCAGCTAAATAAGGAATAAAATGAATTTAGATTGTTCGCCCACACAATACACAGTTGTATTGTATGCCTCAAGAGATATAGAAAGTGTACAATGTCTTGGAATCGTAGTCAGCCTAATCAGTATGTCACTGAAGAAGAACATCAATAGACAGGTGAGAGACATTCATAATTTATTAGTTGTTACTCTTATTCTTTCTGGGTATAGTTACAACAAATACGGTGATTTCAGTGCGTGTAGTTATCATTGGCAACTTATGTAGGAGATAGTATTGAAAAATGCTGGTTTTAAAAGCTTCACTTTTCACCAAGATATATATATATATATATATATATATATATATATAATATATATATATACATTAAATACAGCTCTCCCAGTGGGGTCAATTTTATTAGGGATCTGTTTGACTCTCTGTGAAGATACAATAATTCATGTATATTGGATTTTGAGGGAATTGTGGGGATTTGGAAATATTTCTAGTTGTTATTCATCGTAGACTGACATCAGTTGGAGGAACAAAGGAAATCTGGAAGCACAGGACAGCTGTTTCTTTTTAGTATTGGACTCCTCAGCAATGCACACCCGTGAACCCGCGACCTTCAGGTTACGTGGTCAGCACGTTACCATTGAACCACTAGGTCAGAATCCAGTGCTCCATATTCCCAACTTCTGTAGCTTCCACCGGTCACGACTTCTTATTGGAACTTCGGGACTACCTCTCGAAGCTAGTCATCAATGAGCACCAGTTCAGTTGAATTTTGAGGGAGTTGTGGGGATTTGGAAATATTTCAAGTTGTTATTCATGCATATATTGAACTGTCATCGGTTTAACAGAAGTTTGGAAATAAGGCAACTTATTTTGTTAAAACTGGGCATTTCTTTTCAAATATTATCATAGGATTAAAGGTGCCCAATAATTATTATATTATTAGTCCCTTGGGTTCCTAATGGAACATAGGGCTTCACTAGCACGTCTCCATTCCACTCTCTTATCTACAATCTTTCGAACCTGGCTCCACGACTGCCCACAACCTCTCATTTCCTCCTCACAAAACCTCCTCCATGTCACACTCACCTCGGACGTCCAACTCGTCGCTTCCCATCTAGGTTCCACTCGAGTGCCTGGCCTGACGCATGATGTCCCCAGTCGGCCTTCTCAGTGTATGCCCAATCCATCTCCACTTCCTTCCACTGCATATTTGTTCACCGATAGCTTTTTGATTCGTTGGTTAGTTCCCAGGCCACAGTTCCTTGTTGCTTACTCTTTCTCGCATTCTCATCTGATCTTCAGTAGCGAGCCGGTGTAGGCAGTTGTTGATGAATGTGTGTAGTTTATTGGAAATCCCTTGCGTAATACGCCAAGTCTCTGAACCATACAGAAGCACTGACTTGACTGACGTTGGTGTTGAAAATCCAGATCTTGTTCTTTGTGCTGAGTGCATTAGATCTCCACACTGGTTTCAGGCTAATGAACTCCTGTCTTGCTTTTCCGATTCTGGCTGACTTTGACATCCTCGTCTGTGCCAGTGGCGCCTGTAGTTGAAACAGTGCTTCCTAGATAGGTGAAGGAGGTTACTTCCTTTAGTTGTCTGCTATCCAGTCGGATTTTTAGCGAAACACTGAGACATACCTTTTAACTCCTATAAAAGTTGAGAATGCTGTAAGTTAATGTAGATGAAGAAGGGTAGTAGGACAAGGTGGGCTATTACCGGAGGTACTTATTGATGATGATCGAAGATTATTCGTCAGGTTAACTGAGGTGTTGGCATGAGCAAGCGATGTCCGTCAAGAGTGTCCATTCTTATCTAACCTTGTCGTTGACGTGCTCATATAGGTTTCTGTCTCCTCATCGAATCTTATGGGAATTAGCCTTGTCATAAATGATTTCTTATTTGACGTAGAATATGCAGATGACATAGTCATGTTAGGTGAAGATACTGATAAAATGCAGTCTACTGGACTCTGCGTGGCAATTCAAGAATGTTTGGGATGCGTTTCTCATCATCTACATACAAGTTTCCGCTTCAGAAATGGTCTTTGTTTGTGTTCAACTTAGCTTTAGAGAGTGAAATGGTTGAGTATGTTGACCGATTCTCCTACTTGGGAAGTCAGACCACCCCTGGTGGGTCAGTAGCCTACTAAGTCTCTGTATAAAAACAAGAGGTTCGATTCGCTTTTACCATCTTATACTATCTATGGCACTGGCGTAATATCCAATGGCCTACTGAGGGTCGAGCTTACTACGCAGTGGTTCTCTGTCCTCTATAATATCATTTTGAAATATTGGCATTAAAGTTAGCATAGGGTGCGTTGCAATACTTCCACATTAGTAAGTGTTCCTATTCCAACTTTGCTGTATTTGAATCTAAGATTTAAAAGTTTTCAATTTGAAGGTTTATAGGGATTTATTTTATTGACTTCAAGTTGGTATTCATCATGGGCTGTGACATAAGATAAAGAAAAATTTGAAACTTTGGATCACTCATCAGTTGTTCTGTCCTTGTATAAGACTCCTCAGCAGTACGCCTACACAACCCTCGCAGAGATCGTACTCAGGATTTTCAGGTTCCATTGAACCACTGTACCATTGCGTTTTGAAATTAACTCTTCACTGTTGGGTTGTAAAGATCAGCAGTTTTGTGCTATTTAGAATTTCGATGGTATGATTTTATCGCCCACCAATGCTGTTGCCACTTTCGACTGATTTAACTTGTATATCACAATTTCCCATTATGATGTAATATTTTCTATTTCCTCAGCTAGTCATCGGTATTTAATACTTGTTATCACTTTAACAAATTCATACGGGCAAAAGCTATGATGGCTATCTTGTTATGCTTTCTTAATAAATTGTGATGAATGGAGCATAGCTCGAATCTGTTTCCGGCTGGTTTGAGGTTAGGTAAGTAAGTAGGTGTAGGTACCTAAATCAATGAACTACAGTTTCACTATTAGTTTTTTAATTCAAACAGCTAAATAATTACTACTTTGTCGAATAAAAGGCAGTATTCCTCATTAATATAATTGTTTTTATATCATACCGTCGTTGATTGGACCAAATTGATCGGTCTCTACTGGTATATGGGATCCTGTGAGGATGCCTCTATATTACCGGTGCTCTAATGGTAGTAATGATGGATAGCGGCTGGCAGTGGAATCCAGGATGCGCATTTCTTTCTTTTTAGGACTCACTGGTCAGCTGGATGTACCTGCTTCCCAGTGAATGATGGTGTTCCCACCGGGATTCGGACTCGGGAGTGATCTCTTCAAACGCCAGAGTGTTATCCGCTATGAGTCCCAAATAGGACGGAATGCGCATCCTGGATTCCACTACTAGCCACCATCCATCATTACTACCATTAGAGCACTAGTGATATCAAGGCATCCGCACAGGATCCCATATTCCCGTAGAGACCGACCGATTCGGTCCAATCAACGACGATATGATATAAAAACAATTATACTAAAAACTGTTCCCAACTCACAAGAAGTGGCTATCCTGGTTCAGTGGTGTAGTGGATAACGCTCTGGCGTTTGAAGCAATCACTCCCGAGTCCGAATCCCAATGGGAACAACATCATTCACTGGGGAGCATGTACATCCAGCTGACCAGTGAGTCCTAAATAGGACGAAATACGCATCAAGCTGGATTCCTCTGCTAGCCACTATCCATGATTAGCATTTCTCATTGTTCCATTCATATTTCTATTCTAGCATGTCGATAGGTCGAGCAGATTTCTATCCCATTAACCACGCCCTACATAAGAATAAGCGAACACATTAACTGTTACTCGTTGTCCATTGAATAAATCAGTATTGTATAATGAAATATATTTCTAATCCATTATATAAGTTTCGCTGAAGGTAGAATTTACTTTTTTGTCGTTTACTTTCACGACTACTTGTTATTATCTTACCGCGTATCCTCAAGTTTATACATGACAAAATTGGACGCAATTACAAATAATTTGTTTTTTTTTTATTCTGATTAGTCACTCAACGCATAACAGGTTCATATTCTCTTGTATTCTGGTTGTGTTCTACGTTTAGAATATTTTTGAAGAATCAATGGATTTTGAAGTATTTATTGATCATTGAAAATCTACGGTTGTTATTTAAAACCTAATCCCAACAGTACTCATCCCTAACTCCTTGATTTTTGTCTCTCGAATTCTATTTTTATATAATTTAGAGTGATTATCACCTATTGTCATCATCATAGCCTATTTTTTTGTAGAAATTTTGAGATATTCAGTTTACTCGAATAATGTTTATTCTTGTAATGTTTATAAATGTGTAAACTTTGTATGACAATGAAACTACAACTGATCAACTACATTCAATTTCATCCAGTAGACAATAAGCTACATTTATTGTATGTGAGGGTTGGGATGCGAAAATCTCTACAGAGATGAAGTGATGTCCATATTTTTCACTCAATAAAATTGAAGGTGAAGTTTTTCCAAAATCACTGGACCATAACTTTATACTTTTTATGGATGAAGATTATCGGATGTAGGAGAGTATCTAATCCACCTACATTACACATCTAATAAATTACTTGTTTTTTTTTCTTTCCTTCTTTCTTTATTTCTTTTAGCCATCTGGGAAGACACAGTTAGATCCTGATGCATTTGATCGTTTGTTAGTGAAACGTGCTGACTTCTTATATGCACTTGAGCATGATATTAAACCTGTAAGTTCTGTTGATCTTTTCCCCTTTTAAACAAGACAACTATACTCTACTTACAAGGTCTGCTATCATGTATTGTTCCTAATAATTCATTATATTTCCATTACTTTTGTATTAATCACATACTCTTTATTTTCTTTTGTATTGACTTGATTTTAGGCATTTGGTACTTCTGAAGAAGAGCTAAGTTGTTATTCACCTCGTGGTATTATGATGTGGGGTGAATCTGTATCACAAGCTTTAGATATGGGTCGATTAGCTGTATCAGCTGTGAAAGAGCCTGATGTTGAAACGTATAGACCATTGACTTTATTACTTGAAGGTCCACCGAAAGCTGGTAAAACTGCACTAGCTGTAGAAATTGCAAGATTATCCGGATTTCCATTTGTTAAGATTGTTACATCACATAAAATGATTGGATTACTGAAATGGCCAAATGTGCTGCAATGAAAAAGGTGAGTATGAATAAACAATGAGTGATTTAATTTTTTTTTTTTTTAGTTTGTACGGATTCATTAATGTGAAGTTTCTAACCTATAGGATCAACCAAATTAGAAGTGGAGATAGATGCTCCTTGATGACATTTGATGATAGCTTCACCGTAGCATGAAGTGATAGAAGCAGGAAAAGGGTGGATCCAGTGACTGATAAATAACCTGCTTGATGTCATATTTGCTGTACTGGAAGAAACCCTTATTTCAGTAATGCTTACGATGAGTTTCGCTCAATAACACCTGTCAGAAGTACACTCAGACTTTTTACAGGATAAGATTATATGCTATGGTTCATCATTATCATCATGAAGATCAACATAGGACCAGGCATTACTGAGTAGCGGTCCAAGTTGCCACACCTCATATCACCACATCAAGTAATAAAGCAATGAAATAAAGAGGAAGAAGAAAAGAAAAGTCGGTCAAAGAAGTAGAAGTGAAAGGAGAGAAGAAGGAAAAATGAGAAAATGGTGAGATTAAGCATAGCGATGCAGATAAGGATAACGTGTGTGTATGCATCAGCGCCACTGACATCAGTCCTGAACCATATCACATAAGTCGCTAACCACTGGTTTCTCTTGTCCTGCGGATCCCAACTCGCCAGTATGTATCGCCCTACATGGTGCAAGCGAACAGCCAAGGACTTCATGCATTGATGCCATGTTTGGCCGCCCTTCGGGTAACATTGTGCAGTGAAATAGACGGTGGTTAGGCATACGTAACACATGTCCCAGCCAGTCATCTCAGTGGTTGAAAGTTCACAACTGCGTCAACTGTTTTACCTCTTCTCCCTAAAACTCTACACCTGACTTCTGCGTTGCTCACACAGTGACATCACGAAACACGGCCTGTGCTACGAAGGCAGTGGTGGTCAAACACCTCATGTCTTCTACCTTTAATATCCATGTTTCACATCCATACATTAAAACAACGAACTGTAGCACAGTACACTTGACCTTTAATTTATGATTATTTATTATCTAACCCTTGAGTTCATAGTGGAACATAGAGCTTCAGTCGCACGTCGCCGTTTCACTCTTCTCCCTGCAGTCTTTTGAACCTGGCTCCATGACTGCCCAAAAGCTTTCATTTCTTCCTCACACAATCTCCTCCGTGTCACCCTCAGGGGCCAAACTCGTAATTTCCCCTTTGGATTCCACTCGAGGGTCTGGCCTGACGCGTGATGTCTCCAAATGGTCTGCTCAGTGTATATCCAGTTCATCTCCACTCTCTTCTGCATATTTGTTAAGCGACAGGCTGTTGGTTGAGTCGTTCCCATAGTTCCTTGTTCCTGATTCTTTCTGGTCTGATCTTCAGTATCGAGTGCAGGAAGCTTTTGGTGAATGTCTGTAGTTTGTTGGAAATGCTTTTTGTGACACGCCAAGTTTCTGAACCATATAGACCGACCTACTGTTATACTATCTATCTTTTTTGTATACTTCGAAAAAACGTGGATCAGTATGGACAGTCTCGTAGCTTAGTTGATCACATTACAAAATGGTCAACACTTCGAAATAAGCTACATGAAAGTCGTCAGTGTCTGTCTTCCCGATGCTGGCTTTCATATCCCCACCTGTGCCTGTGCCACCTGTAGTTGAAACAATGCTGCCTAGGTAGATAGGTGAAAGAGATAACTTCGGTTAGATTTCTCCCGTTGATGGGGATTATAGTGCTTATTGTTATTGCCATAATTGGTTGAGTGGCGTCTTCATCACCTCTATCTTCTCTACGTTCACCTGAAGGGAGTCTCATCTCACTTCTTCTGTCAACTTGTTAGTTTTCGCCTTTAGATCTTCAAGTTTGGGCGAAATTCAAGTCTTCTAGGGTTTTTTTTTATCTGTCAAACAATGTATCTCCATCTTTTCACTCCTCACAGTTTATTGCATGATCCAGTCCAGTCGAGTTGACCACAATCAGAAAGATCATCTCTGTGATAGCAGGCGATAATATTGATATCAACAGAGAATGTAATTTCACTAGAGTAAACTTTTAGAGTCTTTGATCCTTGATATTATTCTAGAATATTTACTGTTCAGTTCCTTAAATAAATTTGTATTTACTTAATCCTTCTTATTGTTGATTAGTAGGTTTTGGGGGGAAACAATCGATTTCAGTAAGGTTGTTGTTATATTTTTCAACGTTTATTTATACTGTGAAATCAGTATGGTTATAGTGCATCAGTGAGAATTTTGTTTACAATGAACTTGATTTGATATGTGACATTTTTCAGTTGTGTATAATTTATTTGTCTATTTCTAGATAGTTGAATTTTCGTTTGTTTTGTTTTCATTGTTTAGATTTTTGATGATGGTGCCAAATCTCCGTTGAGTGTAGTCATAGTGGATAATATTGAAGGTTTAATTGAATATAATCCAGTTGGTCCAAGATTTTCTAACTTTATGGTTCAAGCGATTCGTGATTTAGTGTCTCAACCACTTAAAGCGGTTAGTTGATAATAATAATAATAATAATAATAATTTAGTTTCCGTATTTAGTTTCAAGTTGCTATTAATTGAAGAACCATTGAGAACTTGGAAGCATTGACCAACTATTTCATTCTATTGTGGAACTCCTCAACAGTTCACAGACACGATCTCACCAAGACAGCTGGGTCACAGTTTATGTTCATTATCTTATTGATACTTTCAACAGTGATAACTTGCTTATTGAAGTATTACAGACAATACTCCTGATTTACTTTTATGATAGGCGTAGTATATTTTTTTTTTAGGCGAAGAATAAAGCCAATCGATAAGGTTGTGATACGCATACCTGGTTACCGTCCGCCTCGTTACATAATGTTAGTTGAAGTGGGTCGATGCTGGAAAAAGATTGAAGGAGGTCGCACTAAAAACCGCTATAGTCATATGAAGTCGTTGGTTGTCAGTTTGCGTTGTGTAGGAAAATGTAGACTTCTTATTTGGGTTCCGTCTGACAATAGAAAATAATGATTACCGACTGACTCTAGGAGATACGATTCAGATATATCTACACATTATCTTCATTTTGGTCATCATACTACATTTCATTTAGTATTCTCTCATCACTCACTGAATGTCAAGTACATCTAGTTGACGAGTTAATCCTAAATAGGATGAAATGTCTATTCTGTATTCCCCTGCCATCCACTATTCATTATTGATATCAAATTTTAAAAAAATACCGGGAATATCAAGACATTCTCATAGGAGCCCATATACTAACTAATAGTGACTGACTAATTCGATCTAACCAACGATCACAGATTAACAAGCTGTAGCATCAATAACTAGAATAATACGACTTCATTTTTATTTCTTAGATTCCTTACAACTAATATTAAAATGTCTACATTACAATAAACTGCACATAATTTTATTAATTTTACTCATTACTACTTAAAGATTGGTAGCCGTATCCTTTTGAGTATATAAATTAGGCTTAAGGCTACTTTGATAATGATGGCTTTGAGCGAATCGTAGTAGTACTTCTCTGTTTATTGATGATGTTAAATCGTTTAAAACTGTTTACATCATGTCCACTATCTGATTGCGACGTTGAGCTGTTTGCGGACTGTTCAATCTTATATTCTTCTTGGATATACTAAGAAATTCAAATCAAAGATTTACCTTTTTTCCCAGTTTATTTGCTTTACCATATACGTGTAAACTGATGAATCACAAGTCGAGGTAAAATGAGATGGGAACACTCATCGATTATCGGTTTCCATGAAGAATAGTTTGTTCAATTCAAACAAAACAGTTTAACCGAAAGATACGTTATTTTAAATGCAATACTCAGTTTGTACTTCGTTCTCCTGACTCTTCTTTCACCTTTGAAGCCAAGTTGCTGAAAAGTATAATTTTTTTCATTACTGTGCCACACAGGGACCCTCTCATGATTTTGAAATAATGGAGATTATTTTTTAGCTCAGGTAGATGGTCTTGGTTGTATTGTGTTCTCTGAGCTGGTTTGTCTAATCGTGGAGAAGCTTTCATCGTCTTTCTAGACGACATCATCAGCACTAACTTCAGTATGAAGTCAGCTGTCAGTATCTCTCCGTGAGTGATTTAGTTGCTTAGCCTGACCAACTGATTTGTGATCGGTTGTTTCTTTTGGTTGTTGTGTCATCGACTCTATAGATTTTCTTGTTGGCTGTACCTCTACTTGAACTCTGACCTCTCTTTCATTTACCGGTTTTCTTGTTGGTTGATAGATTGGGTCTATGTCTATACATCTATTGATTGCTGACTGACCTGATTCAGTCTAACAATCAGTGAGAAAAATGGTAAATGATAGAAAGGCCAGAGGTCAAGGAGAAGAACAGCCAACAAGAAAATCTATACAGTCGATGAGTAAGCTACTGATTCACTCACGGAGGGATATTGACATCTGACTTCATACTGAAGTTAGTGCTGATGATGTCGTCTAGAAGGATGATGAAAGCTTCTCCACGATTAAACAACCCACACTGCAACCCGTTATCGATAGCTTCAAATGCCAGAGTGTCATCTACCAAGTTATTGAGTCTTATTGGGAAGAACATCGGTCACTGGGAGGTAGGGTATATCCAGCTGTCTAGTCCCCAGTAGAAGGAAACATGCGTCCTAGACTCCACTTCTAGCCACTTTCCATCATTAATATCACTTTTATCTGCCCTAGATATATCAAAAAATCAGCTAAGATTGGATCCAACCGGCATTTGTATAATATCTAGTATTCGTAGTACATGCGTTGTTTCTTGAAACTGTACAGATCGTTTGGATTATCGATTCAGAATCATGACTTTTTCACTTCTATTTTTTTTGTATACTTTCATATTTAAGATTGTAAAATAAAGTTTGCTTCCTAATTTGGAATATTTGTGAATATTTTGTGTATCTCTGCATGATAATTATTCATATTATCTTCTATTTAGGGTCGTCGTATGCTTGTATTGGCTACAACTAGTTGTCGTGAAGCTTTAACAGATCAAAATCTTACTCAAGCTTTTTCATGGCATGTTCATATTGGTATGTTATCACGACCAAAGCATATTATTGCTGCTTTGGAAGAAGATGCACGTTTTACAGTGAAAGAGCAACAACTAATTGAAAAGTCTCTATCCAATCGTCGGTAGGCTTCAGTTTCAGATTTACTTTTATCCCTTTGTTTTTTCACATTATAACAAATTAAAACCCGTCATTATATGTAGATGATATTGTGTTTAGAGTCATCTGTCATTTAGGTTACGTGATTCACTTTCGTCAATTTCATTAGCCTCATCCCATCCATCCAGATCAACCTAGGACCAGGCATTACTGCCTCACGCTACAACTTGCCACACCTCATACCAGTACATCAAGTAAAGAGGCAATGAAACACAAGATGAAGATAAGAAAATGCAGTCAAAAGAAATATAAAGTACAAAAAGAGAGAAAGGAAGAATGGGAAAATAGTGAGGCTAGGTATGGCTGCTAAGATGAGGATAATGTGTGTATACATCTTCGCCACTGACATCGGTTCTGAGCCATATCCCTTAGAGTCTCCAACCACTGGTTCCTCTTGTCCCATGGACCCCAACCACCTAATCTGCATCATCCTACATGGCTTAAACCAACAGTCAAAGACTTCATACATTGATGCTATGTTTTAGTCTGGCCACCTCAAGCATTTTTCCAGTCTGAATCTACTTCGGCCAACATTGTGCGATGAGACAATCGGTGACTAGGCATACGTGACACGTGTCTCAACCATCTCAGTCGATGAAGGTTCATAACTTCGTCAACTGATTTACCTCTACTCCCTGAAACTCTACACCTAACTTCTGCATTACTCACGTGGTGTGGTGACACTACGGAATACGTCCTATACTACGAAGGTAACGGTGGTCAAACACTTGAAGCGTTTTCATATCTTCCTCTTTCAATGGCTATGTTTCACAGCCATACAGTAGAACAGAGTGGACTACTGTGCAGTTCGCATGACCCTTAATTGACAGTCAGATATCACTGCGGCTCCACAGATGGTATAAGTTGTCAAAAACCAAACAAGTCTTTGATACTCATGAAGAGATTTCACCTGCCACTGAGCTATCAGGGCTGATCCCACTCCCCAGGTAAGTGAAGTGGTCAACACACTCAACTACTACACTATTGTTAGCCGAGGTACTGTTAAAGACCAATCCTGGAGCAGCAATTTGCATTTGGGTCGTGAGAAACGCATCCCAAATATTCTCAAATTGCTACTCAGACTGTTCAGAAGACTCTGCATCTTGTCAGTGTCTTCACCTAGCAGGCCAATTTCATTAGCCTCACCATAGTTTATATCACATGAATCTGTGGCCAATAGGTCTAGACAGCTGACTTTCAACTATTAAGTCACTGATTGAACACTCCTTTATCTACCGAGTTTTGTGCAGACGTTTGGTGTAGAGTTTTGGGGAGAAGAGGTAAGTCAGTCGACGAGGTTGTGAACCTTCATCGACTGAGATGGTTGGGACACGTACTAAGTATGCCTAGTCACCGATTGCCTCGTCACACAATGTTGGCTGAGGTGGGTCCAGGCTGGAAAAATGCTTGAGGTGGCCAGACTAAAACATAGCATCAATGTATGACGTCTTTGACTGTTGGTTTAAGCCATGTAGGACGATGCAGACTAGGTGGTTGGGGTCCATGGGACAAGAGGAACCAGTGGTTGGAGACCCTAGGTGATATGGCTCAGAACCGATGTCAGTGGCGCAGATGTATCCCCACACACATTATCCTCATCCTAACAACGCTATACCGAATCTCACCATTTTGTCACTCCTCTTTCTTTTCTTTTCGTACTTTATATTTCTTTTGACTGCATTCTCTTATCTTCATCCTTCACCTCACTACCTTTTTACTTGATGTACTGGTATGAGGTGTGGGAAGTTGTAGCGTGAGGCAGTAATGCCTGGTCCTATGTTGATAATGATGATGATGATGATATAATATCATCAATCCGTGCACTATAGATATTGGCAGATTGCTTAGTGCACAAACCTGCACATAATTGCTAACAGTGCTAATTTTCAGCACTATGTATCGTAGGATGATCAATGTGCGGTCCACGTTGACATTCTTCATAGTTGAGTAGTTTTTCATCTGCTCAACTGTGATTTCAACAAGATTTTCGCTGGAAGTCACTCAGTCAAGATCAAAAGGTGTGATCTTCGATACAAAAATGTCATGAACCAGCGAAGGATATCAATACTGATCTGTTCTGTAGCTATACTGTTTCATTGTAGGTTTGTGGATCTATAACTCTTTCTAATATGAAATAAAACATCATCAAGCATGAACAACTTGCCATTGATTTGGTGTATAGGAATCCACTGTTCTGAATTTTTTGAATAGTGAAACATACATTCTGAAATATATAAACCTACTCTAAGCCTTCATCAACTTTCTAATACACTGAAATGCAAAGAAATTTATCTACCAAGTATGAAATAGGATATAACTCTCAATTTAGTCTTTTGACCTATCAAATTGTACGTGAGCAATGACTATTCTGTATGTGTGAGTAGGCCACACACACACACACACACACACACACACGCATGCATATACCCTTCATCCGGAATGCATTAGGCTTTACTGACCCACTAATGCATCCCGATTAGTTCATTCAACGTTTTCCTAAACAAGACCAGTAGCTTAGATTAAAATTAGAATGGTCAATAAACTTCTACTTCAATGACTAGTGACTTAAAATATTGATTTATGTTTCGACCATTTTCTATCACTACCACTCCAGTTACCGATAGTTTCACTCTATGATTGAATGATTCTAATTTGAGTGCTGCTATAAAGTAGGTTTCCACTTCACCTTCAATAATCTCATAAACATCACTAATATGTCAAATAGTTTCAACAATAATTTGTAGTCAAGTTTTATGAAGGTATTTGATAATATTATAATTGCCAATTCTTTAGGTTATTCGAAACTACGTTGCTCGAAGACTTTATCACTAAGCTATTCAAATCTTGACTGATCCTCCATAGGATTGGATTGTATTTGCTAATCAATGAATGGATGAGAGCCAATGTAATATTCAATTAAGAAGTGCTCGATCACCGAGTGAATTCTATTGAAAAGAAGGCCAGATACTTGACTTCACAGATGTCGACGTACTGAAAGCTGCTGACATGGACTAAGCAGTACACAAATTTTCATAGTTGAACCTCCGTTAAGCAGAAAAAAAATAGACGAACTGAATAGATCTCGACAAATCCTTAAGCAAAATTAATATTTAGATTTGTTGGAAAAAACTTTAAAATCATCCAAGATATTAAGCAGAATCATACAACTCGGAATAAGATTATATGTATTATATAAAACATTGATTTCAAGGATGATACTGCAGCTGGAATCTTGGGCAACTAGTTGTTGATGTCGCTTAGAAAAACAATCTTTTCTGTTAAACTGCAGTTCACCTCCAGTGGACATATAAACTCTAAATTTGCTAAGGACCAACTACTTCTTTGGGTCACTTCAATATTTCTTTACAAGTTCATTTAGTCTTTTGGAAATAGTTATATTGGTAGCACAAAGCGCCCACTTTCCAAATACAGGGATTATTGTGCATTGGTATCGAGAGGAGAATGCAAGCCAATTATTAGTTTAATTGTCAACATCAAGTCAATTCTAATCACTTAACTCCACTCACTACAGTCTACCTTCAAGACTATGTAAGAAGTTAAACTAAACCGTTCAAAAGGAGTACGATTTCGCTATCTGTACACAGTGGTTCAGTGTGCAGAAGAAATACATCCAACCTCTGATCCTACCATGATCCTAGTTATACTTAATTATTCTAATTGACTGAAATCAATTAGTCCATTATGATACTTCCTTCACACCTATCAATAGGACTTCCAGTGAAGTTGTGGCTTAATGGTATAGAGAGATGACTGTCAACTAGTGGGCCCATGGGTTCGAACCTCGTTCCACTTACCGGTCTTTGCAACCAGCCATGGCTCCATTGCCTACTGCACATGGGGGCTGAGTACGTTTAATATTACTTTCAAATATCCTACTTCATACATATAAACAATTTATACCTTATCATGCACCATAATTTTCTATCAACTGTTACCATGTTTTGCATTATTCAGTCATATCATCCCAACTATAGAAACTGAATCGAATACTATGTTAATGGTGTAACGCTACTGTGTTATTCAATAATAGATATGAATACAGTTGTATAAGTTTGACATTAACTTCTTGTCTTCTGTTTTAGTTTATGTATTGGAATCAAACATTTACTTGATCTGATTGATTTGGTATCGAAGGTAATTTTTTTTTTACATGCATTACTTAAATGATTTATTGTATGTTGGTACTTTTATCTTTGGAATTGTAATTCATTAGTCTGGATATTCAACCTCCAAATGGGTCCTACTGAATCTGCCGAGGTCTAGGTATTCAGCTTGTATCAGTAGATGTGGCTCATTGCCTACAACATTAATATACTCATGATTGTTGGATGGATTTTGATTCACCTGTGTGATAGACGTTTTTATTTCTTTAACCTTGAATAAAATGTATCCTGTGCAGTAGATACTTCATTCAACTGTAGATTTATGAATTTAGGTATCCAATAAAAACAGCTTTTGGATCATAGATTCATTTGTATGCACTCCATCCACTTCGGATGGTTATCCTTTGAATCAAATCATTGTGATGTTCAAACTATCGATTTAGGTCATCTTATAGGATCTGTAGATGATTCTTATAGGTTCTTTAGCAAGTGAGAACAACAGTCGGAGATCTCACAGAGAAATTCATTTATTCTGCCGTAACTAATGTTGTTAATTGAGATAGGCTGTAACGAGATATGTTAATTGTTTGAAGGCAAACAGAAAATAGCTCTCCTTGAACTAGGTGTTGTACTTGTTGACACTAGTCGGCAAGGCGTATCTGCAACCTTGAGGGAACTCAGGTTGCCTCTGAGATTCGACTCTTCGTCACCCATTGTTGCAATCAGCAACGTTACAGTATGAAATTGGTTACTTTCCAGTTACCAATCATTGTATCTAATCCAATCCTACAGGAGTTCCGTCGCCACCTGATTAGCTCAGTAGCAACTTCTGTAATTGTAGCACTGGGTGATGAGAATTCTAATCTCACAGGAGGAATGAGTTCCCTCTAGGTGGCAGATATGCTTTGTTGACGAGCGCCAACATACACGAAACCTATCTAAATTAAGCATGGCTTCCTATGATTGCCTACAACTAACTAACATTCACCAAAGTGCGCGGTGACCTTGATCCCCCTAGCCTGATGGCTACATTGCAAATATGATCGATAAAATTCGGCCTACACTCAGGACTAGACAACATGAAATTGATTGCTCTCTTGTGGTCAATCAATGTATGTAACGAGATTTACCTAAAGTAAACGAAACACCTCGATGGATAACGGTTTACAGTCTGACCAACTGAATTGCCTATCTCACCTTATAGTCTGTACCTCACTTCTACATTGCTTCAATATCTACTTCTTTGCAGCTATATATATTAAGAATGAGTGCAGTGCATTTTAGTTCCAGTTTAGGTAATTTTACCAGCCATCAATTCATGTAAATTGATGGGGCCTATCCCATTATGGAGAGCATAAAAGATACTTTTGACAAAACAGATCGCAGAAAGTATAGCATACTTGTACAGAGTCGTGGCGCGGGTTTCAAAAGACTTCAGAGAGGAGAGTAGAATAGAGGTGTGCTACTGAAGCTCTGTGTTCCACTAGGAACCCAAGAGGAAAATAATAAAGATAATATAGAACACATGCACAAACTCATGTTATGGCAGTGTGTTACTTACTAGGAAAGGAGTACCGAGCAAATATGTAACGCCAATTAAAGCATTCTGATGAAACTCACGCAGCCGTGCTAAGGCTTATAAAGAATTATCATCTGAATTAACTAGAACTAATGATATGCACCATATCAGATGGTACGTCTGACTTCACAGGGATTAGTCTATTCCCTGGAGAGTATCTGGGCGACTCGCAGTTCGCAGACGACACTCCTGCTAGGTGACGATGCTGAGAAAATGTGGGGTCTTCTGAACGTAAGATAAACATACATAGTCAGCGTAGATGATCGTACTTGGTTCATCGGCTCAAGTTGGGACATTTCATAGCAGTAGAATACAAAGAACAGGTGGATAGAAACAGTGATATCAAAGTAGACAAAGTTGTGTAAGAGAATAAACGATTTAAAGATAAAAGATAATGAAAATATTCAAGCTTTCGAAGATATCGAGGAGTGAATACATCTGCACGTTTGTGACTGGTTTTAATCCATGTCATTGAACGTACAAAGCAGAAATCTGAGTGTATTTAGTTAATATTTGGCAATTGTAAGATGATGCCTCAGGTATGGTCTGCAACTACTCCTAGTTTAAGGATAGCGAATGAAATCTCAGAATGAGTTGACCGCTTCATTTACTTCGAGATTTCCATCAACCCGAATGGGCTAGTTGCTGACCAAATCTCACTGTGAATACCAAAGACCCGTTTAACACTTGGATCATCTGATGCGCTGACTGATAAGATATCTAACTTGATATCAAGGGGATGAGTTTAAAGAAATCAGTGGTTGAGGATTCATGGTGGAAAGTTTGAAAATTGGTTATGCGGCATATGAGGTTCTCTATTGATTTATCTGTTTGACTAACATTCACTCACTGATGGTTTATTGAAACACTAACTAGCCTATGTTTATTCATTTTAATTATTAGAATGATGCAGATCATCGAGTTGCAGCATTTCTTGCCAAATTAGAAGAAGTTGGCATTGTAGATGAATGAAATATTATGATATTGATTTGGTGTTACGTAACATCAATAAGAAAAAAAAAAGTGGGTTGTGTTATGTTATAAGCTCAATTCTGTGTTATTTTGTTGACTTACTCACCAATTTATTTATTTACTCTTATGATCATTTCATCATGGGTAAATCTACTTACTACTTACAGTGTATACTTATCTCAACTACTTATTTTTATCTTCCATTACATTCATCTTTATTTTTATCCATTATAATGTTATACCAAGATTTCATACATCATTTAAGAAGAGAGAGAGAGAGAGATTAATTAGCATTCCATGACACAAACTGCACACATCATTAAAGAATAATTGATGTGAACGTATTACTTTGATTTTCCTCTCTAGAAGCGTGATTTTCTTTAATATATATATATATATATATATATATATATATACTGAGTGATTCACTTCAATGGTTAACGAGTAGATTCATGCCTATTCTTCGTCTCTATGTGTGTTTGTTTGTGCTTATTTATATTGATTCGCTCAAAAGCATTTATTTCCTTTCTCTATTTACGTTTTTTTTTTTAATATTTTACTTCAGTATTTCCTTCTTTTGTGTTTGCCTCAGTTTACTTATACTTTCGTCTTATGTTCATTTTCTCTCTGTATCTCAATAACAACTCTATCATTCTTGCACAAACAACTACTGCACTGGTCATGCATAATTTCACTATAGGGGATGACTTTTATCACCTGTTTACTTCTCTATACATTTTTTTTCTTTTCTCTTCAACAAGTTTCACTTATTTTTCAGTGTATTGCCTAATCTATCACGGATATCATATGATTACTTTTAATTACACCTTTAACGGTTACTTCTTCTTCATCGTAATAATTACTATTACTGTTGTAAACATTATTGTTATTTTATTGACAATATTCTCATGGTCATTTGTGTCTCTCTGTATGTTTGAATGGCTCCTTTTTCTCCACCTAAGGACATATATATATATATATATATATATATATATATATATATTAGCATGACCCAGACCAGTCAAGCATTTGTGTGTGTGTATGCTTGAGAAATAGGAGATGACAGTAAGTGACTGATAAAGAAAATCTTGCATAACCTGACGGGAACAGTATTTGCAAAATAAGGTGACATTATTTTATCCTACAAGATTTTCATCAACTGCATAAAAACCTAAACAAATACATTATCTCAGGTTCTTATATGTTATGGACTAACATCAATTGGAGTAACTGATATGTTTGAGTCGGAGTGAGACGTGAATTCTAGTAAAAACGCAACGAGATACTTGAACTGGGTACGAGTAATGCGATTGTTCACCCCTACACCTGAACCCCAAAAATCAGAAGATAAAAGACAGGCCTGTAACTGACTTAAAGAAGACGATTTTATTTGACAAAAAACATAGTATTTATAGAAAATGAAGCCACTACATAAGCAATCAGTTGAAGGAAAATTTTGTCTAGTAAAATTAATTTGAACATACCTAAACATAAATCAAGATTTGAAATGAAAATATTTCTACCCCAACGGTGAATAACCTTGAATGGTGATTTCCCTTTTTAGCCACTTCCAAACATTTCTCCCCGTGAAGAGTGTATGACTTCTTTTTAGGGTCCACATGGAAAGACGTTGATCTTCTTCTTTGTCGACCGGAGTCACTGCAACATAGGGGACTAGACGTTTTGGACGAAGTACTGCTTTGACGTTTGGTTACAGAGACACTTGGGTAAACTTACAGAAACCGAGTTTGTCCCGCAAAACGGAGGCATGCTTCTAATGTAAACATTCCAGCAGAGATTTATCAAGCATCTTTAATAAACGGGTATTATGCGATGGTGACAGTACAGGAGAACAAACTGAATTCAATGACACATTTAGGATATTTAGCTTATCTATCCAGTTCAGACCAAGTAGGTCTTAATCATGACGATTTGTTAGGTAACAAACATCATTGAATTTATGATTGCCAAACTGAGCATGGCAACTAATCTCACCAGTAAGTTTCAACACATCTCCAGAAACATTTCTAGCGATATATTTAGTTGGCTGGATCTGTGGGCATCCAAGTGTGTACCATGTATTCGGATAAAGTTTATTCATTACCAAGGTAGTGAGTGTTTGATTACCATTTCTTTTTGAGCACACAAGTGGTTGTGTCTTCAAGAAACTGTCTTCTGTTTGTTCCTAATTGTTAAGGTGTGTAATATCCTATTTTGAGACCATTGCATTGATAAACGAAAAATGATTCTTTAAGCGCGAATTCTGTAGTATATGTTCAACAATCTGGGTAGATAACCCTCCATTTGATATTCCAATGTATCCACTCCCTCACGTACTTTAGAATTGGTAAAAGCAATTAGAGATATAAAGAGTCGATATCCTGTCCACTTTTAGCTAAGTCATTTGACATGATATTTGATACCATGGTACTAGCTTGGCAACTAGTTGATAGGTCAATAATGTGGTATTTTCACTGCATCGGTTTATTATCTCTGCTGTTTCATCACTCTTCAAACCGGGTATTTCGACAATAATAATAATAATAATCACTTTATTCCATACAACATGTATGATAGCGCAGAATTCTCAGCTTGTTATATTTCAACAAACCCGTTATCATACATTAGCTTGTGGCTTGGGCTGATAAATGAGTTAAAAATTCAACGAAATTTTGGCTATGATTGTGGATATTCAATCAGCCATTGCAAGTTTAGAATTTGACGTAAATATTCTAGAAATAGCAATGTGTTGTATTTATAAGTTCATTTCTTAAGGGTGTAACATTTTTTCATTTGTATTGTTGTTGACTTAAAAAACTACAGTTTGTAAACATTCTAAAAATGTCCTAGAGTACATGATGCGTTTAAAAGACAGATTTTTTTTTAAAAAAAAGAAAGGGAAGAATTCGATTAAAATATCTTCCATGGAGAAAATTTGGTAGCCTAATATTTCAGCAGTCCGCCAGTTTTTTCTTCTCTTGTATACATAGCTTTGTTGTACTAACCTCAATTTCCTGTTTGTTGGAGATTATTACAAGTAACAAGACTATCATTGAAGTATTGCATATACAAATTACATTCACTAGTCATTAGCTTCGGAATAGATCTTTCCTGTGAATGTATCATCTAGTATTGGTACTGAAGAACTTCCCACTGTAACTTCATCCAGCTGTTTATGTAGAATACCATTGATTTAGAAATGTGCATCTTTTGTGCATAATTTTAAAAGAAGACCAACTCCAGAATTTTGTAGTTGGATAAAACGAATCCATTTTGTTTTATTGGTATTCTGTCAACTTATTACAATCTAGAATATCAAAATATAGATATTCAATCACGGAACTTAACATACTTTAATTCACCGAAAGTAAACAGAGTGTTGGTCAGCGGTCGAGATGGACAGAAACAATCATAGAGTTAAGGTCAATCGTAGTTATGTACATTATTATTTATTTGTCCCTTGGGTTCCTAGTGGGACATAGGGTTTAAGTAGCACGTCTCTATTGCACTCTCTTCTCAACATGGCTGCACGACTGCCCACAAGCTTTCATTTCTTCCTCCGTGTCACCATCGGACGCCCAACTTGTCGTTTCCCCTTTGAATTGCACTCGACGGCCTGGCCTGGCGCGTGATGTCCTCCAATGGTCTTCTCAGTGTATGTCAAGTCCAATCTATCTCCACATTCTCCTACATATCTGTTGAGTGATAACTTTTTGGTTCGTTGCCAGTCCAGAGTTCCTTATTGCTGATTCGTTCTTACCTTCTCATCTGATCTGATCTTCAGTGTAGGGCAAGCGTAGAGTCATCTGTTGATGAATGACTGAAGTTTCTTGGAAATGCTTTTCGTAATGCGCCAAGTCTCTCAACCATCACATGGAAGCACTGACTTGACTGACTCAGTGCTGAAAATCCCAATGCTGAGTTGAGTGCAGTAGATCGCCACACTGACTTCAGATTGATGAAGGCCTGTATTCTCGGTCTTTGCTTTCACATCCTCATCTGTGCCTGTGTCACCTGTAGTTGAAACGATGCTGCCTAGGTAGGTAGGTGAAAAAGACAACTTCGTTTACATTTCTCCCGTTGATGGTGATTGGTGCTTGTTGTTGCTGTGGTTGGTTGGGTGGTATCTTCATCACCTCTGTCTTCATTTGAGGAAAGTCGCGTCCTCGCTACCCTGCCTGTTCTGCCAACTTGTTAGTTTTCGCCTTTAGGTCTTTGAGTTCGTGCGAAATTAGACATAAATTATCATCCGTGAAATTGAAATCTTCCCGGTTGTTTTCATCGTTCAAGTAGTGTATGCCCATCTTCTCGCTCCTCACGGTTTGTTGCATGGTCGAGTCGACCACAGTGAGGAAGATGATCAGTGATAGTAAGCGGCAGCCTTGTCTTGCTCCTATCTTCACTTCAAAAGTATAATACAATAAAAGTCTCTGGAATAAATCGAAGGAGAAGAATAGCGATGATTACACAAGTTGGTCATACCATAAATAAGTAGAATTATGCTCACGATATGACCAAAAGATGTTGCGACTAAATAAGAGTGAAGGAATAAACATCTAAATTTGACAAAAGATAACGTAATTAAATAAAAGACAAGAATCTGTTACCAAAGCATACAGGTTGACTATAGCCTTTTTAACAAAGAAATCACTTTTGAGGTGGTTGTTGGCTATTGCCCCAGAAAAATCCAGTCTATTTTTTTGTGAATAATGAAAAAATCGAGGACGTCTACTTGATACTCAGTATCCATCAAATGCCGATTGTTTGCACTTTCTTCCTTCTCCTTATTTATCGGTCCTTCGGAATGCGTTCATAACATCTAAAATACTCCCTTCTTTCCGTTCTAATACACCTCCGGCAGCTGCACGTAAATATATATATATATATATATATATATATATATATATATATATATATATACTGCGTGATGATTGAAGATCAAGTGAAAATTTTGACCGTGGTCGGATTCCAACCAGGGACCACTGGGTTTCCGGCCCGGT